TTGCCAAAGTGTTGGTAGAAAAGTTTTTCGTTCATTACGGGTTGCCCTCACGCATTCATTCCGATCAAGGAAGAGACTTTGAAAGCCGGTTGATACAAGAACTTCTGGGAATGTTGGGGATCCGCAAATCACGGACCACACCTTACCACCCACAAGGTGACCCACAGCCAGAACGCTTTAACCGTACCCTTCTGTCAATGCTAGGTACTCTGGAGCCAGCCCAAAAAAGTAAGTGGAGTCAACACATCACTCAGCTTGTACACGCTTATAATTGTACAAAAAACGAGGCTACAGGCTACTCCCCTTATCAGTTGCTTTTTGGAAGAGAGGCTCGTCTGCCCATAGACATATGTTTTGGCATTTCACCTGCTGGTGAGAAAGGAGTGACTCATCTGCAATACGTTGAGAAAATGAAAGCTGAACTGCAACAAGCATATCAGCTGGCGGCTGAGACTTCGTTGAAGGCTCATCAAAGAAACAAGAAGCTCTATGACAGAAGAGTGAAACCTCAACTGTTGACTGTTGGAGACAGAGTGCTTATTCGAAATCTTGCTGTAAAAGGAAAGAACAAACTCCAGGACAGATGGAATTCCTTACCATATGTGGTTGTGGAGAAGTTTAAGGACTTACCGGTCTATAAACTGAGACCTGAGCGTGGAATGGGAGCAATAAGGACAATGCATCGAGACCACTTGTTACCTGTTGGAGAGAATGTGAGATTCAGTAAGGCGAATGACTCGAATCCCTCAACACAGCCACCTGTAACAAGAGCACAATCAGGAAAAAGAGTACAAAAGGAAAAGAAAGTTGAAAATGTTGAGCAAGTAAGAGGTGAAACCCATGAGACATCTGAGAGTGAGGATGACGACCTTTGTTATTACTACCCAAAGTTATTTCCTGCTCTGAGAACTCAGCCAACACCTCAAATTACTGTGGAACCTGAAATTATACCTGCTGAATATGGTCCAGAACTAAATTCAGAGTGTGAAGCGAGAAATGATACAGTGGAGGAGGAGGCGAGAGAGGTTCTCAATCAGCCTGCTGAAGCTGTGGATGATCAAGGTGTAGGAGACAATGACCACAGAAATGTTCCCAAACCGGGGTCTGAACCTGCTGTGTGTCGTAAGTCTACGAGAGAAGTGAAACCAGTAATAAAGCTGAGTTATGATGATTTGGGCCGACCCACTGATAAACCATTAACCATGGTTCACCGAGGGATGGTAGTACACATTGAAGATTTGTCAAAGACCCGAAAGAGCTGCAACACAGTTTGGTGTCACCCCATGGCTCAGTGTTCCCAGTGTGTCCCTACAGCCCCTGGCCCTATTGTCAGAACTGTGATTCAATTTTAAATGTCTCATGAGGGCATGAGAAGTTTAGAAGGGGGAGGATGTAGCCCTTATTAAAAAAAGAGCTTACTTAAACCCACTTGCACCTAAAAGCAGAGCATAATATATTTTTATACATAGAAATATACAGAGATTATAATTATATTTTTCATATTATGGTAATCTAATAGATAGAGAATATTAACAGACCACTATTCTGTTAAGAAAATGCATTTTTAGTATGCATACTATTATAGGACTTATATGGTATGTTTCCCTTTAAGTAACTCGTTCGCTACATTTCAGTGTTTGGTTGATTTACACTTGGGTGAAAATGTGCTTTTTGCTATCAAGTTTGTGTGTTAATACCTGATTGGGTCTATACCAATTAGTCCCCGCCTCTCTTATAGGTGAATAAGCTATTATTGGTTTATCGTGAGAGCTGAGGAGAAGATTGAGAGAACGAGACCGCAGAGGCTTGTCTCTGAGAGAAACTTAAGTATTATAACTGCAAATCGTGAGTTGTATACAGTCTACATTGATTTAAAGTGTGCTAAAGCTGTTTAAGAACCGTAGTGTATGCATTAAGTGTTATAATTGCGAGTATATGGAGACCGTTTGCGAGCTGAAGACATTGACGCTCGTGTGAGATCATATCCTCGTGTTTTAGCGTCTGCTACACTATACTGACGCAGTGTTTTAGCGAGTGAACTGTAAGAAAGTGAAAGCTCGTTCAGGAGGACAGATTCATTGCATCGGCGGGAGTGTTCATGCTGTGTGCTGACGCTGCATCGGACTGACGGTTCGCGGTGGGAACATCGAGCGCGGGACAGACGGCATCGCGCGGAACGGACGGACATCGATCGCGGGACGGACGGCGATCGTGACGGTTGCCGGAACGCCAGGTACATTTACAGTGTTTTCTTTTTGCTCTTGTAAGAGTGAAGAGGCCATTTTGCAGTTTCAAAGGCCACTACGCACCCGAGCAACATAACAGGCCTGCATCGAGGGTGGGTGAGACTGTGTGTGTGTGTGTGAGAGTGGGCCCACTTTCAATATTTCAGTGTTGCAAAAGTGTTTATTTGCTGTTAACGCTTACAAAAGAGTGAAAAAGGTGTTATTTCTATATTTTTTTTAGAGAATATTTGCTTTGATATTCTATAATCTGAGATACGAATGCACTAAATAATTGTGAGTTATCTAAATCATTGAAGGGTGAATATAGTTTTAGTAAGGGAGCGTCTAAAAAGTGCATCAAGTCACAAAAGTGTAAAATGCTTATTGCTTAAGTGATTGGGGTCCAGTTGTTGGATACTCATACTGTGTGTTTATTGAAGGTTAATAACTGTTTCCCTTTACAATTAGTGTTTTATCTATTGTGTATTGATATAAGGTTGTATTAATAATTCATATCTCATTATAAATAGTATTATAATTATATTTATACCTATAATATCACCTATATAAATAACAAATACATCTATACTCATCTTTATTTTATTTTGTTTATTAATAAATTTCTATTTGTTTATAACTTAATTTGTTTTGCTTACTTATTCATTGAAGTTCTCTAAAAGTGGTATCTGATTAGGGGGAGTGAAATAATAGTCGAGAGGCTAAACTGTAGGAATCCGGTGCTCCACCCTATAGAGCTTAGGTCAGGACAAAGCCTAAGAGGGCAGGGGCGCTACATTAATATACACATAAATTCAATAAGCATAAATTATAGGAGTTAAACATCAATCCTTAGGCTAATTCTTCTTGTTTGAATCTGCTAAAAAAGGGTTTACATATATGTACATTTATAGATATAAAAATTTCCAATGTAAAAAGCAAAACAAGGTGTTTTGATTAGGTCTTAATAAATGAGATTATTTTGGATGATGAATGAATTTTCAAAAAAGCATTTTAATCCAAAAAGATTGTGTTGAAAAGAACAAAAGGTAAAATAAGTGAGCTATGTAGAAGTTTCCCAGAAAGAGCAGGTCGCCTTTAAACTGCTAGACAGGAAATAAAATATATATTTATATTATAATAATAAAACCATTTTATAATCATTTAATAAAATAGTTCTTTACTTTAATTTGTTAAGAGAGCTTTAGGGTGGCAGGATCAGGGATGATGATTATTTAATTTCAAGTCTGTAAGACTTATTTGAGTTCATATTTAGGTTATTCACTAAAATATACACTAAAATATATATTTAAATCGTTCATGGAGATGAATGCAGTGAATAGTCTGGATAAAAAAGTTAAAAATAAACCTGTGCAAACAAGCTAACCTCTATAACCAGATTATTTAACAAAAGATGATTACTGCAGTAAAATATTTGTAGTCTTTTAATAAGCAAGATGTGTACAGGATAGAGAGGGTGTGAAAAGTGAATTGTTTGTTTTAAAACTTTTGAATCGGAATTTGTCCAATTATAAACCCGAAATACACATGTTTGTTGTCATGTGGTGAACTCGGCCAATCGTGTAATATCGGTGTCGTCATCAGAGCTCCTGCAGTCGCTCTTGAGAAGCTGCACGGTCTGAGTTTGCCGTCTGATCTCGGAGCGCTGTCGCGGTACTTTGATGCCACATGTGACAGTCACGTGGCGTCGGCGCAGCATCAATCCGGACAAGATTTCTAACCAGCATGCACCGCTTTAAGACAGATTTCGATCGATCTGCGCAGCGCTGCATGAAGTCGAACGCACCTATTAGTTTTAGTCACGTGACCTGGGTATTTTAAAACACTTTAGTCACGTGACCTGGGTGTTTCGACTCGCATTAATCACATGACCTGGCTGTTTCAAATCGCTTTAAGCCTGATTTATACTTCTGCGTCAAGTGATTGGCGTAACCCACGGCGCATGCAACGCGCTTTGTATTTATACTTCTGCACGCTGTCTCTGTTGATCTGCATTAACACTTCTGAAACGCTAGTTGGCAGTGAGCTGTAAATGTGTCTCTGTGTCGAGTTTCTTCGCTGCTGTTTTGCTTTTCCTGAACACTTATGGGATGTACAAGTGGCTCAAACTCGCTCATTTTGAGGCAGGAACCAGCGGACGTGCAACAACTTTAACTATGAGGTAAACACAAAACAAAACTCCTTCATGGGACTCCACACTTGTAAACAATCGCTCGCGCCATTCGCGCGGCTCTCGGTCCCGCCCAGACTCGTCAGCGCTACCAAGCAGACCAATCACAGAGCTTACGCTACGCGTCGTTGCGACGTATAGTTACATTTTTTGAGAGGTGCACGTCAGTGACGGCGACGGCGAAGGGCTGTGCGTCAGCGCCGTAGCATACGCCGGCATTTGACGCAGAAGTATAAATCAGCCTTTAGTCACGTATCGAAGTGTTTCGAATCACTTTGCTCACGTGACTTGGGTGTTTCAAATAGCTTGAGTCACGTGACCTGGGGGAATTTGGTCACGTATCTAAGTGTTTCGAATCACTTTGGTCGCATGACTTGGGTGTTTCAAATAGCTTTATTCACGTGAGCTGGGTGTTTTAAATGGCTTAGTTGAATGAAGCCAATGAGAGGAAGGGGTGGGGCATGTCAGATACTAGAGAGCATTTGATTGGTCAGAAGATTTAAAAAACTAAAGTATGAGACGACAAAAAAAAAAACTGTTGATCCATTTTATAATCATGTTTTTTCCCTCACTTTATGCCTCATCAGATGTAAACCTCAACCTTGTAAAGCTCAATGAAAATCATGATGGAGATGCGCAGGCAAATACACATGTTGATGATCCCTCAGCACAGACATTCCCACAGCATGTAAGCGTTTTTTATTGTCATTTTTGAATATGTATTTGTCAGAATAATATACTGATGAAGGTTTTTAGAACATTTTTATTTTATTTTTTGTCTCTTTTGCTCACCAAGTCTGCTTCATTTGATACAAATTACAGCAAAAACTGTAACATTCTGAAATATCTTTACTATTTAAAACAGCTCTTTTCTTTTTTAGTTTATTAATTTTCTTTTGGCTTAGTCCTTTTATTCATAAGGGGTCGCCACAGCAGTATGAACCACCAACTTATCCAGCATGTGTTTTACACAGCGAATGTCCTTACAGCTGCAACCCAGTACTGGGAAGCACCCACACACACTCATTCACACACACACTCATACACTACGGCCAATTTAGCGCATCAATTCCCCTATAGCGCATATGTTTGGACTGTGGGAAAACCCGGAGCTTCCAGAGGAAACCCACGCCAACATAGGGAGAACATGCAAACTCCACACAGACATGACAACTGACCCAGCCAAGACTCGAAGCAGCGATTGTCTTGTTGTGAGGCCAAAGTACTAACCACTGAGCCACAGTGTCGAACATTTTAATATATTTTGAATAGTAATTTATTCCTGTTGTTTATAAGCTGCATTTTAGCATCAATACGCCAGCCCTGTGGTCCTTCAGACATCATTCTAGTATGCTGAATTGATTCCTTAAGAAATATTTTATTCATATCATTATGATGAAATGTTCAGCTTTCTTTAATCAATAGGAAGTTCAGATAAAACTGCATTTATTTGACAAATTACGTGACATAATACAAGACTTTATCATTACATCTGAACAATTGAAAGCATCCGTGTTGCATAAAAAATATTATTTTCTATTAATATTCTAAACAATACTTACTTCAAGCTTTTGAATAGCATAAAATGTTAAAGGTTTTTATTTACGATACATGCTGAAACCACTTAAATTACTTTTTTAATAAGTGTTGTTGTGATTTGCACTTTTTTACAATAAATGATTAAGAAACAGTATTGATTGTAAATTATATATTGAATATTTAGCACAAGCGTTGACATGGACCAAAGCTGCTGATATGAGAATAACACACAAATGAACTTAAGATGAATGCTGATCTTTCTTCATCAAAGAATCCTGAACATAATGACACAACTGTTGATAATTGATGATGATAATATTGAGTGATTCTCGAACAATAAATCCGCATATTATACTGATTTCTGGAGGATCTTGTGTTAATTAAATAACTCTGGAGGTAATTATATGTGATCAAATGTGTATTATACTGATTTCTGGAGGATCTCGTGTTAATTAAATAACTCTGGAGATGATTATATGTGATCAAATGTGTATTATAGTGATTTCTGGAGGATCTCGTGTTAATTAAATAACTCTGGAGGTGATTATATGTGATCAAATGTGTATTATAGTGATTTCTGGAGGATCTCGTGTTAATTAAATAACTCTGGAGATGATTATATGTGATCAAATGTGTATTATAGTGATTTCTGGAGGATCACGTGTTAATTAAATAACTCTGGAGGTGATTATATGTGATCAAATGTGCATTATACTGATTTCTGGAGGATCACGTGTTAATTAAATAACTCTGGAGATGATTATATGTGATCAAATGTGTATTATAGTGATTTCTGGAGGATCACGTGTTAATTAAATAACTCTGGAGGTGATTATATGTGATCAAATGTGTATTATACTGATTTCTGGAGGATCTCGTGTTAATTAAATAACTCTGGAGGTGATTATATGTGATCAAATGTGTATTATACTGATTTCTGGAGGATCTCGTGTTAATTAAATAACTCTGAAGATGATTATATGTGATCAAATGTGTATTATAGTGATTTCTGGAGGATCACGTGTTAATTAAATAACTCTGGAGATGATTATATGTGATCAAATGTGTATTATAGTGATTTCTGGAGGATCACGTGTTAATTAAATAACTCTGGAGATGATTATATGTGATCAAATGTGTATTATAGTGATTTCTGGAGGATCTCGTGACTGAATACTATTATTAAATTTAATAAAAATATGTTAAATAGAAAACAGCTATTTTAAAAAGCAAAAACAATTGACTTTTATATATTTTTTGCTATATTTTGGATCAGATAAATGATGGTTTGTTGAGCTGAAGAGACTCCTTTAAAAAACATTAAATATTGCTATTCTAAAATCATTGACCGGTGCTGTGTTTCTTACAGTAACTTTATTTTTTTTCCCCAAAAGCAAGAAGATGGAATCAAATCCGTTCGGATCAAAGAAGAACACATGGAGGACGAACAGTGGGACGGCGGCCCGAGTAAATAACACTAAACATTATTAGAAATTATGATATAATGATAATATTTATGTGCATTCATATTTAAAGCTAAAAAGTAATAGATCAAATGTAATCTAGTACATTTAATTAGAGTAAACAACGTTTTAGATTACAGATTTTATGTATTACTCGTTTATTTACTTGATAGGAGCAAAACTGTATGTGTTTGGTCCATCACTGCACTTTAAAAAGAATTTGTTGAGGCTCTTTTTGCTTTTAAATTAATGAAGATATTGTGTCAGTTATCTGTCAAAATAGTACAAGAGAATCCTGCTTCAACATACAAGTGACATCAAATAAGGATTAGCTCAAAAGTAATCCAAAAGTAATCCAAAAGTAGTCAGATTACATTAGAATAAATGTGTAATATAAGAGATATTTTATAACCGACTGCATATTTTGTGATGTAATTTGTAATTAGTAGCACCCTAGCAACCACAGAGATCACCCTAGCAACTATATTGTAACCGTCCAAGAAAACCCAACACAAGATCATTCTGAAAACGTAGCCCCGCGGATGTTTCTGGAGACTGCGATTTACGTGGCCGGAGGTACGTACGGCCGCATTTCGTTTTTTCGAGCGAATGCTAAGGGTCGTTGTGACGCCGCTCCTCTTTTTCGCGCTCGCCGGCTGTGACGGCTCACCTTCATGTGGAGGGCTTTCCTGCCGCTACCAGTTTGTCCGCTTAGCTCGTAGTGTTATGTCGGCAGAGCGGAGGCCCGGAGGAGGAGGAGCCACCCGCGGCGACAACCGGGTTCAAGTTCGGCGGAAGAGCAGTCCAGCTATCAGGTAAGATGAAAAACAGAATCCAAAAAATAAAAGTGAACGAGTTCGTGATGGGGCGAGAATGCGGCGAAATCTAAAAACACGTCAAAATCGGACGAGGGCTTTTCCTTTTTTTTTTCTGGACGGCTTTTGTAAATCGTCGCTTGGGTTTAGGGAAGGAGATGGAGGAGGGTGGCGGGGTCGGCCGATTGGCCGGCCACCTAGTCGATCATTCAGTCAGTCGGACAGACGGTCGCTCGACAGCGGCCTCCGGCGTCTTTTCGCGCAAGAACAGCGCAGGTGCGAACGGTGCGCACTCCCGAGAGGCATTCTAGACGCGAAAAAGCGTGGCTCAGCGGCCTCTCTCGGATACACGAAAACAAAAACTTCACAAATACGTACCTCCCGGGTCGTATTTTGTGGTCTCCAGAAACGTCCGCGGAGCTATGTTTCCACAGTGAGCCTGGGTTGTGAAAACCCTAGCAACAACCTAGCAAATGCTAAAATTATTCTACTTAAGTATATGAGACCTCAAATAAAGGTTACTTCAAAAGTAATACAAATGTAATCCAAAGGTAGACCGATTACATAAGCATAAATGTGTAATCTAAGAGATATATTGTAATTGACTACATATTTGATGTAATTTGTAATACGTAACACCATAGAAACCACTTTTCAACCACCCAGAAATCCCTGGCAGCTGCATAGCAACACTCTTAACAAATGCCAAGATTTTCCTACTTCAATATATGAAACTTCAATTAAAGGGTAGCTCAAAAGTAATCCAAATGTAATCCAAAAATAGTCAGATTACATTAGCATAAATGTATAATCTCAGAGGTATTTTATTACCAACTACATATTTTGTGACGTAATTTGTAATCAATAACACCCTAGCAACCACCCAGAACACTCTAGCAACCATACAGAAAACCCTAGCAACTGCATAGCAACACTCTTAACAAATGCTTAGATTATTCTACGTCAATATATGAATCATCAAGCAAAGGTTACCTCAAAAGTAATCTAAATATAGTCTAAAAGTAGTCAGATTACATTAGCATAAATTTGTAATCTAAAAGATATTTTATAACCAACTGCATATTTTGTGATGATCACCCTAGCAACAACATCAAAACCATCCAGAAAACCCTAGCAACTGCATAGCAATACTCTAGCAAATGCTTAGATTATTCTACTTCAATATATGAGACCTCAAAGGTTACCCAAAATTAATCTAAATATAATCTGAAAGTATTATACCACTGACTGCATGTTTTGTGATGTGATTTGTAAACAGGAACTGATTACAGTTCATAAGTAATCCTCCCAGCTCTGAGTCTGTTCTCAGTCATGCTAATATTGAAATATTTCCACTCGTTGTTTTTATCGCAGTTTCTCCTGCTCTTTGCCCGTTGGGTCCCGAGGTGGAAGATCACGACAGTTTTGGCACTGGAGCAGCTGGGGAAGGTGAGAGATTAGGCTTTATATCAGTACTAGTTCAACTAATCCGGCCACTTTAAGCCATTCAGTTATTTGTGGCTGATTCTAGAATTGCAGCTACATTTTCTATCTGCAAAAAAAAGTTTTTTTTCTAATAATAATAACACAAATTTTATCAAGCTATCTCTGAAAATCATGTTTGTATGTGTATTTAGGGACATTTTGATATGAAATATTAAAGGGCCATGAAACCCCCTCGTTTCAGCAGGGTGTTTTCACACATCTACTTTGGAAAAAGTCAGGAAAGTGGGCGTGTCCAGCTCTGTTTAGGGGGAGTGTCGGAGGAGCAAAAGAGGGATGGTCTGTAAAATTTGCATAAAAATGGGAGTGTCGATTTGGGCACACGAGTCAAAACACACACACAGGGGAGAAAGACTGACTGTGTTTACATGGACATCTGTAATCGAATTATTTGCCAAATTATTAAATGGTGGACTTTAACTGCAGTTTGGCTCTTTCATTCAGGAATTTCATTCGTACCCCTTGTGACAAACGAGATATTTAATTCGAGGAACTACTGTAAGCGTGTATTTTTCATGCAATCTTTGTTACCGCACGGTGAAAGAGAATAAAAACCTTCGCATTTCTCTGTAACTTAGATGCATTCGGCATGTAGTGTCAGAAAGCCGCGTGTGTTATTCCGGTCACAAAATGCGGTGAAAATCCTCCACGACGGTAAGTTTGATTGTGGTGCTAACATGTTTACACTCAGTGTAATAGTTAGTTCGATACGAACTAACTTTGCCATCTGAATAAACAAAGAGCACTGGTCGCTCACTTACCAAATCTGTAGAGACAGGACAATCACCAGCAACTGGAGCCGCGTCTTTATTAAGAAGAGACGAGCAGCGAATCCGGATCTCACCATTTCCAGATGAGTAAAGCTCTCGGGTAAACAATTTTCCTTAGACATGTATTGTTGTCGAGCGTCGCGTACACTGTAATCCACACGTGAGTCCAGCTGCGCTCTCACAAAGAGAAAATGAAAACAAAACTTCACTGCAGCAAACTATAAAAGCAACACTTCACGCTTGTTTTGCCAACACAACGTGGCGTCTCTGTCGTCTAAACACTGTGACAGTAATGAATATTAATGAAGTTGCACAATAGAGCGCGCTGATTGGTTTGAACAAAGTCTTACTCATGCATTAATGCAGCACACTCAGAGACGTAATAAGGCACTCCCAGGTACAGACGTCCAGTCTGCATGCTGAAATACACGCTCTGATCTCATGACCGTGACGCAGCTTCAAAAATTCGTTTTAAACCGGAAGAACGAATTTGCTCGAAATAACGCAAAAACAACCAATTTACACTTGTTAGTGAGATATCTGTGTCCTAATGGTGTTTTTAGCAGTGTGGGACACATATACCACTGTCAACAGCTCAAAACATGTGCTCTGGTGTTTCGTGACCCTTTAACTTAAGTAAAAATCTTTGCCTGCTGAATTATACATTCAGCTTTAATTATCATCAAATAATTAAGTCTAATTTAACTTTTTGTGTTAAAAAAGGAAAAAAAACATTTTGCATGAAACACACTTTTTTATTAATATTTGGTTTTAATATTTAAAAATACATTTAGTGTGTTTGTCTGCGTTCTGGCAAAGAGCTTAGAATCACCAAGAGGCGACACTCAATAGAATGTTCCATTGCAACAGCAGCGCCCAGCAACAGCCCCGGATTCTGTCATTTTGGAGTGGAAGCGATCGGCTGTCCATTGGGTCTTATTGCTGTCGCGATGGCGAGCAGCTGCGTTGTTTTTTATTTATTTATTTAAAAAGTGCATTTTTAAATAAATACAACACTTACCATCACAATCATCAGCACTTTTAATAGTTTATTTTACACACTTATAATATGCTGCTGTTCTATTGGAAATTTCATTCCAACATGGCCGCCACGCCATCTAGTGGCTGTTTCACATATTACACAAGAGTGTCGCCTCTTGGTGATTCTATGCTCTTTGGTTCTGGTCAACTCTGTTGCATTGGTTATGAAGAGCAGAATAATCTGTAAGGCAGTCCATCAATACAAAATATATTTTGAATAATGTTAGAAACCAATAGTCATTAATTCCCATAGTATTTGTTTTCTTACCATTGATGTCATCATCAGTAGCAACCAGTTTCCAACATTCTTCAAAATATCTTCCTTTGTGTTCAACAGAAAAAAAGAAACTTTATAACCACTTGAGTGCAAGTAAATGACGAGTACGTTCTCATTTTAGGTCAACTGACCCTTTAACCTTCATTAAGAAGCTTAACCTGCAGTCTGTGTGGGTCCTAATGCTCCAGTATAGTGAAGGGGACTCTATACTGCTCAGTGAGTGCCGTCTTTCGGATGAGACGTTAAACCGAGGTTTTTAAAAATCCCAGGATGTCCTTCCAAAAAGAGTTGGCCTCCTGGCCAAATTTGCCCACTGGCCTCGGCCCGTCATGGCCTCCTAACCCTGCCTATATCATAATTGGCTTTATCACTTGACCTCCTCTCCACCAATTAGCTGGTGTATGGTGTGCGGTCTGGCACAAAATGGCTGTGGTCGCGTCTTTATTATTATTATTAACTCTCAATTCTTTACTCCAAATTCTCAGGTAATTATTTTATCCTGTCAAATAAAGTGAAGCTGAGCAGCTACCAGTTTACAACATTCTTCAAAATTTCTTCTTTTGTGTTCAACAGAAAAAAAGAAACTCGTACAGCTTTAGAACCACTTGAGTGCGAGTAAATGTAATTTTTGTGTGAACTGACCCTTTGCTTCATTATCTCTCAATTCTCTCCACACAAATCCTCAGGTAATGATTTCCTCCTGTCAAATAAAATGAAGCCCAGTGGGATGTGGAATTCTCCCGTGTCAGAGGAATACATCGTCAACTCCGAAACCCAGAGTTTAAACACATCTCCTCTGGAAACCGGAGATCGATTCGCCGCCGGTGTTTCGCCAAACCAGCGGCACGATCTCAACGCACAACACAACAATATCGAGGAAGCGTTCAGAATTGCTGAAATCTCCCAGCGAGGATTAAACCACATGCTTCCATCAGTCTCCGATCACAGAGAAGCAAACCCGGAGAGAAGCTCACGATGTCCTCAATGCGGAAAAACATTCACCACGAGATTTTACCTGAAGATCCACCAGCGGATCCACACCGGAGAGAGACCATACACCTGTCCTCAGTGCGGAAAACGCTTTTACTGCAACTCTCATCTGATCTCGCATCAGCGCTCGCACACCGGAGAAAAACCCTACAGCTGCGAAGAGTGTGGAAAATCCTACTCGCATCTGAACTCGCTGAAGCTTCACCAGCGCAGCCACACGGAGGAAGAGGCCTATGTGTACTGGTGATCTTACTGGAATAGAGCTGTGGCTGTAAAATAATACATGAATTTCGATTCGTGGTTCAATTTAATGCATTGCGATTCTAACTTGAAATGATTCTGAGCTTAGTTTTGAACAGCAGATGGCGCTCTAGGCTTGTTTTTATCAGCTGATTCTGCTCTAGGCTGGTTTTTAAACCGCAGATGGCGCTCTAGGCTTGTGTTAATCAGTTGATCGTGCTCTAGGCTTGTTTTTAAATCGCAGATGGCGCTCTAGAGTAGTTTTTAACAGCAGATGGCTCTCTGGGTTGTTTTTTAACAGCATATGGCACTCTAGGCTTGTTTTTTAACAGCAGATGGTGCTTAGGGGTGTTTTTATGGCACTCCAGGCTTGGCGCTGACGCTCTAGGTTGATTTTTAACAGATAATGGTGCTGATCTTTAACAGCAGATGGTGATTCAGCCTAGTTTCTAACAGCAGATGGCGCTCTAAGCTAGTTTTTTACCAGCAGATGGCGCTCTAGGCTGTTTTTTAACAGAAGAGGGCGCTTTAACCTAGTTTCTAACAGCAGATGGCGCTCTAAGCTAGTTTTTTACTAGCAGTTGGCGCTCTAGGCTGTTTTTTAGAGGAAGAGGGCGCTTTAACCTAGTTTCTAACAGCAGATGGCGCTATATGCTTTTTTTTTACTGCAGATGGCGCTCTAGGCTGATATTTTTACTAGCAGATGGCACTATATGCCTTTTTTTTACAGCAGATTGCGCTCTAGGCTGATATTTTTACCAGCAGATGGCGCTCTAGGCTGTTTTTTAACAGAAGAGGGCGCTTTAACCTAGTTTCTAACAGCAGATGGCACTATATGCTTTTTTTTACAGCAGATGGCGCTCTAGGCTGATATTTTTACTAGCAGATGGCGCTATATGCTTTTTTTTACAGCAGATGGCGCTCTGGGCTGATATTTTTACTAGCAGATGGCACTCTAGGCTGTTTTTTTTAACAGCAGATGGCACTATAACCTAGTTTCTAACAGCAAATGGTGCTCTAGGACAATTTGTAACAGCAGATGGAGCTCTAAGATGTTCATTTGTTTTGTTTTTGTTACACCAGATGGCACTCTAGGACTATTTTTTTACAGCAAAAGTCACTGTATGCTATTTTAAAAAGCAGAATTTAACAGCAGATAGTGCTCTAAACAGTGTTTTATACCAAATGGCGGTCTAAGGCGAATTTTAACATCAGATGCAGCTCTAGATCTTTTTTAACATCAGATGCACCTCTGTATAGGTTTTGAACAGTAGGTGGCGCTCTAGGCTAGTTTTTAAACAGCTGATGCTGCTGTAAGCTGGTTTTAAACAGCAGGTAGCGCTCTAGGCTTGATATTAAACAGCAAATGCCGCTCATGGCTAGTTTTTAAACAGCAGATGACGCTATAAACTGGTTTTTAGCAACAGGTGGCACTCTTGGACCATTTTTTTACAGAAGATGTAACTGTATGCTAGTCTGTAACAGCAAATGGTGCTCTAGGAAAATTTGTAACAGCAGATAGTGCTCTAAACTGTTTTTTTGAATACCAAATGGCGCTTTAAGATGAATTTTAATAGCAGATGGTGCTCTAGACCCTTTTTTTTTACAGTAGTAGCTCTTTAAGCCAGATTTTAACAGCAGAGCTAGACCAGTTTGTAACCAAAAATATAGCTCAGAACAGTAGGTGGCGCTCTAGACCTACCTTTTAGAGCTGTGGGGCTGATTATAAAGCATACAGTGCCATTTGTATGTAAAAATAAGCTCAGAATCGATTAAATACAGAATTGCGATGCATTTGAAAACTTCAGAGTCGATGTAGAATCATTTCTCGATGAATGATGAACCAGCACAGATCAAGCGTCTGTTACATTTGCTCACATCAGCTGTACATGATATACGAGTAATACTGCTTTACATTTGAGAATACTGCCTTCAGTTTGAGTAGATGGCCTGTTGATTGCTTTTAGGTTTGTTTTTTGTCTGTTAGCGGTCATAAAATGCATTTCCGCAACACTTTACAATAAGCTTTCATTAGTTATAATACAAAGGTGTTGAATGCTTGATTCTGATTGGCTGACGAGCCTTCTGAGGGACTCATCAGCCAATCATAATCAAGCAGTCCACAGACCTATAGTCTATGAATATTAAATGCCATAAACGGATTGTTAATTAATGATGGAGTAGTTCAACCAAAAATTAAAGTTTACTCATCTTTTATTCATCCTCAAATGATTATAAACCTGTTTTATCATAACAGATGTGCTGAAAAATGGGAGAAGCCAGTAAACATTGACCACCATAATGAGGAAAAGGTATGAATACAGGTTTTAACATTGAAAAAAACTAATAAAAATGAGTAAATAATGACATAATTTTAATTTTGGGGGATTTATCTCTATTAAATACATTAACTAATATGACCTAATGGAACTTTATTGTAAATATTCACTTTATTTTCTTTTTTTAAGGTAGTTGGCCAATTGTTTGTTTAGTTATTCATATTTTATATTAACGTTTGCATAAAATGCATTTAATTTCTATATACATTTTTCACTGAACATATTAAATGTGTGCTATGAAATGCTGTTTTCCACTGTTTTTGTTTGTATGAATTATTTAATATGGGAGCCTCGTTTTGCGAGTGACAATAAACTGATGAGTTTCTGATGTAAAAACTTTTCTGTCATGTTTTTCTGGGTTCAGGGGTCCGTTCTCGGTACCTGGATTACTCAGTTAGCTGGATTTGGTTATTGATGATTTGACACGATACAGGATTGTTTCGTTCTTCAAAACTGATCCGAGAGTTGTTGTCATAGCAACAGTTCCGCTAGATCAAACCTGGCCGGGAGCAGGCTCAATTCATATAAACAGGATGTTAAGAAAAAAGTTAATATGCTAATGAAATCATTTATAGGTGCTCAAACTAACACCATTACTAATATGTACATAAATAAAAAATGAGGACAACATTTAGATGCTCAAACTGTAGCACTATGTCCAATAATAGTCTTACATATGTACAATTATTATTGTCATTTTAGGATCATTAGTTTGATGCAGTAGTATTCACTATGATAAATGGTAAATAAATTAAATATACACTTAATATTAAGATTCTCGAACTATAGTATTACACACAAAACAGATGAATAAAAATGTAAACGGAACATAATGGAAAACAAATGGACATCTATATATTTTTTCTTATATCTTTTAACTGTTAAATAGGTAATGAGGTGAAAATATAAATAGATTGAGAATTGATTTGAATTCTTATCATATACATGAGATTTTGATGCAAACACGTGGGATATATAAATACATACATGCCTCACAGATCTCTATTAAATTCATATATATATATATATATATATATATATATATATATATATATATATATATATATATTCACACATGAGCCTATTTGTGCATTAGTAACAAAGACAAAACTGCAACTAACCAAACAAAAAGCTGAAGATCAGAGTCCAAAAATGTTAAATGAAATTTTAACAAACTGGAAAATACAAGAGGAGCAAACAACAGTTAAATTTAGTTGAAATTTTGTAGTTTGTAATTTTATTTGCAATTACTTTTGAATTTAAATGTATTATCTTTTTATTCCTAAAGATGTGCTGCGACTAAACTCTTATTTTAATGTATATAACTGTATAATAAAACTGTTTTGTTTAAATGCTTATTTAAAAATCATAATTAAATTATTAATTATTAATTGCTCCGCAATATATAATAATTTCTCCTCAGCTGCTCGCGTGTCCTTTATTTTGGCGGAAGCTTCCGCGGACTCCACCGGAAGCACTGTTGCCCGTCTGCGATGATAGCTGAAGTGGTGTTTTTCTCCAGTGTAATAATCAGAGAGTGTGTTTATTAAAGATGAGCTGCTCGCTGCAGACGCAGGTCTGCTCCATCCTGGAGGTGCTGCTGAAGGCGGCGGCGGCGCAAATCGGGCAGCTGCTGCAGGAGGACGCGGCCGCGGTGCAGATGGAGATCCGCCGCAGGAACGAGGAAATCCGCAGCCTGAAGAGCCGCCTGTGGAGCTGCGAGAGCCGGCTGGAGAAACTGACCGCTGCCCGCTGCTCTGTCGGCGTACAGGTGCACATCACCGACCCCGGTCAGTCTGCATAACTCACTACACACTTAACTTACACTTATATTAATGTTTGATACTACACACTTAGAGGACTAACACACTTTTATATGAATATACACTCACCGGCCACTTTATTAGGTACACCTTACTGGTACCAGGTTGGACACATTATGCCTTCAGAACTGCCTTAATCCTTCATAGCATAGATTCAACAAGCTACTGAAAATATTCCTCAGATTTTGCTCCATGTTGACATGATAGCATCACACAGTTGCTGCAGATTTGTCGGCTGCACATCCATGATGCCAATCTCCCGTTCCACCAATCCCAAGCTGCTCTATTGGATTGAGCTCTGGTGACTGTGGAGGCCGTTTGAGTACAGTGAACTCATCGTCATGTTCAAGAAACCAGTCTGAGATGATTGAGCTTTACGACATGCTGCGTTATCCTGCTGGAAGTAGCCATCAGAAGATGGAGACACTGTGCTCATAAAGGGATGGACATGGTCAGCAGCAATACTCAGGTAGGCTGTGGCGTTGATACTCAATTGGTACTAATGGACCCAAAGAAAATCTCCCCCACACCATTACACCACCACCACCAGCCTGAACCACTGATACAAGGCAGGATGATCCATGCTTTCATGCTGTTGAGGCCAAATTGTGAGCCGAGCATCTGAATGTGTCAGCAGAAATGGAGACTCATCAGAGCAGCAACGTTTCTCCAATCTTCTATTGTCCAGTGTTGGTGAGTCTGTGTGAATTGTAGCCTCAGTTTCCTGTTCTTAGCTGACAGGAGCGGCACCCGGTGTGCTCTTCTGCTGCTGTAGCCCATCCGCCTCAAGGTTGGCCGTGTTGTGTGTTCAGAGATGCTCTTCTGCAGAGCTCGGTTGTAACGAGTGCTTATTTGAGTTACTGTTGCCTTTCTATCAGCTGGAACCAGTCTGGCCATTCTCCTCTGACCTCTGGCCTCATCAACAAGGCATTTGCGCTCACAGAACTGCCGCTCACTGGATATTTCCTCTTTGTCGGAGCATTCTCTGTAAACCCTAGAGACGGTTGTGTGTGTTTACAATATAGGTATGGCAAAAGTCATCAGATATCAGTCATGGTGTAAATGAAAAATGTAAACTTACTGTGGTTTATCTTGAAACTGGTAATCGTGAAACACTAATGATGTATTTCTCCTCAGGTGTGACGGCTCACGATCAGGAGACGCTCATGTTGACCAGTCCAATGATGAACGTCGTTTCAGAGGAGAAACCTCTTATTCCTCGTGCACCTGAGCTCCAATTACAGCCTCTTAAACGAGAAGATCCAGCGAGTCGAGCAGCTCCACATGCAGAAGAGGAAGAAGAAGAAGAGGAAGAGCTCAGCGGTCTGGAGCTCCAGATGAAGATAGAGCAGGTGGAGGAGTTTGTAGACCGGAAACTCAGCATTCATGATGGAAACTCTCAGATTTGGAGCTCGCAGAAAGATTTCCAGCATCATCAGAGTCTAGCGGAGCCTGAATCACATGCACAGAGCTTTCCAGATGCACATGCTATGATGATGGAGGATTCTGGGGCTTTATCTGCTTTAGTTCAGGAGAACGACAGGAATAATGACTGTGATTTTAATCTCCTACAGTCTCACGGACACAGCAGCGTATCGGACGCATTCTCACTCTCAGCATCACATCCGCCTAAAACACACACACAGAGTCTGCAGCAAGGTGGGTTTGCATTTAGAATTACATTTTATTTTGATGCTAATTTTTAAATAGCGATATCAATAACCCTGTAGATTTGGAGGCGGATGGCCGATATATTAGTCTATAAATATTAAGATAATTATAGTTTGAATTTTTAAGTTAGTTTTTAATCTTGATTTTAAAATTTGCTGAACACTTAAATTTAGTAGGGATGCATCAATATGGAATTTTTGATTGATACCGATAACTCTTTAGATTTGGAGGCCGATATAGTAGCCGATAAATATCTAGGTAATTATAGTGTAGATTTTTAAATTTAAAAATGACCCTTTAAATTTAAAAGCTAACAATCGATATATTAGTCGATAAATATTAAGGTAATCATAGCTTGCATTTTTAATAGTTTTTATTTTGATACTAATTTAAAATTGGCTGTGCATTTAAGTTTGATAGGGATGCACCGATATGTCATTTTATACTCATACCGATAAACGATAACTCTTTAAATTTGAAGGCTAATAACCGATATATAATTGTTGATAAATATCAAGGTAATTATAGCTTGTTTTTTTAAATTGTTTTTATTTTGAATCTAGTTTAAAATTGGCTGTGCATTTAAGTTTGATAGGGATGCACCGATATGTCATTTTATACCGATAAACGATAACATTTTCAATTTGAAGGCTAATAACCGATATATTAGTCGATAAATATCAAGGTAATTACAGCTTGTATTTTTAATTGTTTTTATTTTGATACTAATTTAAAATTGGCTGTGCATTTAAGTTTGATAGGGATGCACCGATATGTCATTTTATACCGATAAACGATAACATTTTCATTTTGAAGGCTAATAACAGATATATTAGTCGATAAATATCAAGGTAATTACAGCTTGTATTTTTAATTGTTTTTATTTTGATATTAATTTAAAATTGGCTGTGCATTTAAGTTTGATAGGGATGCACCGATATGTCATTTTATACCGATAAACGATAACATTTTCAATTTGAAGACTAATAACCGATATATTAGTCGATAAATATCAAGGTAATTACAGCTTGTATTTTTAATTGTTTTTATTTTGATACTAATTTAAAATTGGCTGTGCATTTAAGTTTGGTAGGGATGAACTGATATGCCATGTTATATTGCGACCGATAAACAATAACTATAAATTTGAAGGCTAGTAACCGATATATTAGTCGATAAATATTAAGGTAATTATAGCTTGTATTTTTAATTGTTTTTATTTTGATACTAATTTAAAATTGGCTGTGCATTTAAGTTTGATAGGGATGCACCGATATGTCATTTTATACCGATAAACGATAACATTTTCAATTTGAAGGCTAATAACCGATATATTAGTCGATAAATATCAAGCTAATTATAGCTTGTATTTTTAATTCAGTTTTTATTTTGATACTAATTTAAAATTGGCTGCGCATTTAAGTTTGATAGGGATGCACCGATATGTAATTTTATACCGATAAACAATAATATTTTCAATTTGAAGGCTAATAACCGATATATTAGTCGATAAATATCAAGCTAATTATAGCTTGTATTTTTAATTCAGTTTTTATTTTGATACTAATTTAAAATTGGCTGTGCATTTAAGTTTGATAGGGATGCACCGATATGTAATTTTATACCGATAAACAATAATATTTTCAATTTGAAGGCTAATAACCGATATATTAGTCGATAAATATTAAGGTAATTATAGCTTGTATTTTTAATTGTTTTTATTTTGATACTAATTTAAAATTGGCTGTGCATTTAAGTTTGATAGGGATGCACCGATATGTCATTTTATACCGATAAACGATAACATTTTCAATTTGAAGGCTAATAACCGATATATTAGTCGATAAATATCAAGCTAATTATAGCTTGTATTTTTAATTCAGTTTTTATTTTGATACTAATTTAAAATTGGCTGTGCATTTAAGTTTGGTAGGGATGCACTGATATGGCTTTTTTTGACCGATACCGATAACTAATAACTTTTTAGATTAGGAGGCTGATAGTCGAAGTATTAGTCAATAAATATCAAGGTAATTATTAATTATAATTATAGATTTTATATAAGTTTTTATTTTTATACAATTTTGAAAATTGCTCTATAATAAAGTTTAGACTGGATGTACTGATATGGAATTTTTGACCGATACGATCACCGATATTCCTTTAGTTTTGGATGCCAATATATTAGCTGATACATTTCAAGGTAATTTGTTGTTTGGTATGTTTTATTTTTGGCTTACTGAAATGATCTTGTTCTGCATGCAGGAGACGATCCACGGCTACAGGCAGGCTTCAAACCGTTCCGCTGTGAGGAGTGTGGGAAGAGTTTCACGCAGCGCACCAGACTGATCACACACGGACGCGTGCACACTGGAGAAAAGCCCTTCCGCTGCCGGCTCTGCGGGAAGATGTTCTCCAGACAGGACAACTGTCTGCGGCACATGCGCTTGCATGGCGGACAGAGCTGGCCCGCAGGAACGTAACACTGGACTGATGGACTGAGGGGTACTGCACAAAACTAAGGGATTAAGGCCTGTTCACACCAAGCAGGATAACAATTAAAATAATGCTAAATATCTCACATTTCCTAAATCACGAAGCATTTTACAGTAAAAATACAGTCTTATTTTCAGAAATGAGTCGATATTAGGTGCGATTTTCCTTAAATTACACATGAAATCAAAACTAAGCATATTGATGTTGTGAGCTCACATTGCTAGTTTCGTGGTGAAGAATTCATCCGTGCATGTCATTGAGAAAAACTAAATAGTAGGGGTGTAACAATACACTCAGCTCACGATACGATGTGTATCACGATATAATGTTCACGATTCGATATGTATCACGATATTTTGATAAAAAATTGAAAATTAAACTAAAATGCAAATTTTACCAAGTAAACTATTTTTTATGTATTTCTTTTGTTTCAACTTGTTAAACTGAACCTTCTTTAAGAAAATAAATTAAACAGGCCTGTCTCTGGAAAATAAAACAATTAAAAAACTTCTTAAAAATATTATTGAAATGACAGAGACAAAATTAAGGAACAATTTAAGTAAAGGTGCAAAAACAATAAGCTTTCTATTCAATTGAATTTAACAGTAAGAGTTTAAGGCTTTGCTTGGTCAATTGCGTTTTTTTGTGTGCAAAAAAAAAATCCACATTTCCAAGTATTTAATTCATATTTAATTAAATTCATTTAGAGATATCTCTAATTACAATTGTGACTAGTCAAAACTCATTTAGAGATATCTGCAAATATTCTTTAATGGAAGTCAATGGAGTAATATGACTAGTCCTAATATATTTGCAGATATCTCCAATCTGATTTTGTACTAGTACAATTGTAATTGCAGATATCTCTAATTGTCATTCTGACTATTCGAATTATAATTATGACTAGTCAAAATAAAATTAGAGATATCTCTAAATATATTTATGGATAGTCAGAACAAAGGTTTAAATGCTAAAACGGCTTGCCATACGCGCGCGTCTATCATAGTCTGCCCTCTGTAGTAACAGCTCACGGTCAGCGCACGTCATGTGTGATTTTGCGGCGGGAACATTATATGAAGACAGAATGATATTTTAGGGTGAAATGTACCTTATAAATACAGTATGTGACTCTTTCAACACCATTAGGAGGTATCCCTGTCGCTGTGCAAAGTATGTAAATCACTGTGAAGACTTTAAAACTTAGGATGTTTGACCCAGTATGAGTGTCAAAAAGCGGACGAGTCTAAAGCAATGACTGTACAACCGAAATGTTGCCAGACGTCTGATTTTGAGAGGATGGGCCATCCTCTATTTCAACTCCACTCATCTTGGTCTGCTAACATTACTGCTGCTGCAATCTAAAGTCACGTGCGACAGCAGGTGGAATGTAGCTCACGTGCAATCAGCTCAACTAATAAGAGAAAACGGACGTCATATCGTAATCAAATCTTCATAACGCCACGATGCATATTGTGACATTTTTGCATCGCAATAAATCACACAACGATAAATCGTTACACCCCTAATAAATAGCCTTTGGAATCTTCAACTGAAATATGAAAACTGTTTGTTTTCATTTAAATTCTCAGTTCTTCGTACGTGGATTACTCAGTTAGCTGGATTTGATTATTGATGATTTGACACGATCCAGGATCATTTCGTTCTTCAAAACTCATATGAGAGTTGATTTGATTTATTTATCTTCGAACAAAATTATAATACATAAAATATCATTGACAAAACGAAATACTTTTTAACATGGTCAAAAATGGAGCGGGATGAAGCATAAGCTTATTACTCTCCCACCCCATTACCCCACAGATCATTTGTTTGTTACTTAAACTTATTTATTCTTTTACCTATCTCTTCTTTTTACATGAAACTAATTTGATCCTTTTTGGCATCTTTGACAAACAATATGTTTAATTCCATTTGTACCTTTTCATTTTGTAACATAGACCCAAATAAAAAAATACATAGTACAGCAAATAGAAAAAATTAAAAACAACAACAATAACATAGTACTGCAAATAGCCATTAATTAAAATTTCATCATACCTTTCTCTTTTTATTATTTTTCAATAACCTTCATCACTATATTCCTTTATTAATATACATTTATACGGTTTTATTTAAATTGATTAATATCCTGACGTTGTTTTAAAGTCTGATCTAGACTGTTCCATAGTTTTACACCACGTACAGTCATACGCAAACTTTTTAAAGTTGTTCTTGTTTTCAACATCCTAAAATTTCCTCTCTCAGATTTTACCCCCTTGTCGTTCTTCAAAAAACTTTTGTATGCATTTCGGAAGTAGTTTATTCCTATTGTTGTGATGGCAACAGTTCCGATAGCTAAAATCTGGGGTCCGTTCTTCGTACCTCGCTTAAATGATCTAAGATTATTTGGCAGATCCTGGATCTGTTCATCTTGATAACTGATCTCTCGCTAATTTGGTTCTTCAAACAAGTTCGCGAATTAAAATGTCTGGATAAATTCATCTGGGATCGCTGCGTGTGTTGTGAAGGACAGATCAATCGATCCTCGAAATCATGATCAGCAATGCAGCGATTGGCTGACGGCACAGCAGCGTAATGACATCATCTGATTAATATTCAATTATCCATGTGAGCAAAATTACGTCAAATTAGCAGTAAACGGCTTGTTAAATATGACACGCAATAACCTTCCACATTTGTTGTGAGCTGCAGGCTTTACACTTTCATGTGTCGAGTGTTCATCATGTATTTCAATGCAAATCAATGTATTTAGTTCTACATTTAGAAAATATTTTCTTTATTATAGTAGCCGTTTCTTAATCAGTGTAAAGAATAACTGGATGCTACAAAAGCATTTTGATATTGGTAAAGGCGTCTGCAACTTTTGTGAAGCATCAAATCACCGTCATATTAACTATCAAAACATGTTCATGACTGCATAAATGAATTATTGCTTTTAAAAAGTCACATATTGTGCATTATCATACACAATTTGTACTAAAGCGATCTAAAAAGTTCATATCAATAAGTTTTCTCTTTGCACTAGCAGGTGACAGTCTTTGTACTTTCATTTCGAGGGTGCAGATTGCATAAGTTTTATTAATATGTATAACTTTATTTATTTTATTAATGACTATAACTTTATATATATAGTTTAAAAATATGTACCATTTTCCCAAGTGTATATAACTACTACTGTAAGAAAATATCAGAATTCGGAACATACTTCATTATCTTTGCTTGAACTGAGCCGATATAATCCTGTTTATATGAATTGAACCTGCTCCCGATCAGGTTTGACCTAGCAGAACTGTTGCTATGACAACAAATCGTCAATATCCAAATCCAGCTAACTGAGTAATCCACGTACGAAGAACGGACCCCAGCTCGAGAGCAGCAGCTCATTTCATATAAACAGGATTAGAGTGGGTCATTTCAAGCAAATGTAATACTGAAAGTATGTACCGAATGCTGATATTTTCTTATAGTAGTAACCTATAGGTTATATACACTTGGGGAAATTGTAAAGTAGTTAAAAAAAAAAAATTATATATATATATATAAACACACACACACACACATATATATATATATATATATATATATATATATATACACACATACACACACACACACAAACACATATATATATATATATATAGTTTTTGCAAATACTGGTTGTTGGAATAGGAGCTGTAAAAGGTGGTACATAAGGATTTTTACAAATGGTGTGCCACTACAATATATATATATATATATATATATATATATATATATATATATATATATATATATATATATATATATATATATATATATATATATACATACATACATATATACATACATGTTTACAAAAGCATTCTGATGCAACTTTTGTGAAGCATCAACTCATTGTCAAATTAGCTGTCAAAACATGTGCACGACTGCATAAATGTATTATTTATAATTTTTTTTTTTTGCGATCTAAAAAGTTCATATTAATAAATGTTCTCTTTGAACCACCAGGTGGCAGTCTTCGTACTTTTATTTTGGAGCGCAGATTGCATAAGCTTTATTAATACGTTTTTATATATATATATATATATATATATATATATATATATATATATATATATATATATATAGTAAAAGGTTTAAGCTAGCAGAACTGTTGCTATAGCAACAACTCTCGGATCAGTTTTGAAGAACTAAACGATCCTGGATCGTGTCAAATCGTCAATAACCAAATCCAGCTAACGGAGTAATCCACGGATGATGAACGGACCACATGCGTTTTAGAATGACTAAAACAACATTTCAGATTTTCTACAGTGTGCTCAACCAGCTGGCTTGTCCATTCACACATTTTAATCGTCACATAATCTTATACCACAATCACATGACCTTTTTTTTAATGCGCATACTGGAATTTGTTCAGTAAAAGTGTTTCCATCATAGTTTATGCGCATCTTTTCTAATCGAATAAAAAGTTAGTTACTCCGTTATGCACATTTTCCAAAATGTATGCGCATCTTGGCTTTTCCATCAATCGTTTTTGTATGCACATCTCCAAAATGCGCATAAAAATAGGTGGCTAGTGCAGTGGAATATAAACAAATAATTTGTGCATTTTTAAAGGAGGAAACGCAAATACACCAAAACTAGCACTGGATACCTGAGGCGCTTGTATTGTTATACTTCAGTTAGCGAGCCCTTTTTTTAATCATTATCTGTTTTTCACTATCTATTATTTATCATTATGTGCCAATCGTTTCTCGCCATTATCATTTAATAATCTTTTAAAAGAGCTTCTCCAAAAATGTCGCCTTAAATTGCGTGAGCTCTTTACATTTCAGTGATTCTGATTGGCTGTCAGGGTTTCATCAGCTGTTGTTGTGGTGTAAACTTCTTTAACACTGTGAGTGATTTTTAGTACGATGTCTTTGTTTATGTTACGATGTGTTTATAGTTATCGTGATTGGTGTGAACCGGTTTTAAGCTAAGTTTTTAAAGCTATCCTGGATTAATTTAACTATTAGCAGGCTAAATTCAGTCACTTTGCATATTTATTTGCAGCTAGCATCCAGAGCAGGCTCAATTTCTGGTGATTTATTTGTTATTTTTGCTGTTAATGCTACTAGAAATTAATGTGTTTTACAATCACGCTGTGTTCATGATTAATATGCAGTGGTTCCCTGTAATGTTGAATGGAAAGAGCACAGACAGAGCCTTACTTGAAGAGATTTCTTATATGTAACTTTTAAATTGGGGCTTGTTTTGAAAAATGTAATTTAGATTTGTTTTATTGTAATCTCACAAAGACATGAGCAGCAATGGCTTAATAAAAGGACGCCTATTCATTTACTGTATGTCTTCAATGTCATTTTGGAAAAAAATTTGTGAGAATCAAAGTGTGAAATCAAAACAGCGGCATTTTTATTTTGAAATTCACAAATAAATTGAGATGCATTTGCATTAAATGTTTAGAGCAGCTCACTGTAGTATTGGTAACCTAGCAACCAACAGTAAACAAGGCAAGCATAATCGAGTCACGTTAGTGTAATTTTCAAAACCACCGCAAGCAAACAACTTTTGAACCATGTTTGTTCATCACTTGTTTAGTAATTCAACAGTCGATTATTCTTTACATAACTAACAAGTAAATACAGATTTGTATTGCATGCAATTGTAAGATGACTGGTTATTATTTAATATGAATTTGGGTGTAGGACAACCTTGATAACTTGCTTCAAATGCTGATGACTGTAGTTAACGAATAGCATTAAATGGGTCAGAACAACAAATCAAATCTTAATTGAAATAAAAAATTGAAAACTAGCTATTTAAATTTAGTTTAAGATAATGTACTAAAATAAACAGCTGAAATGTTGAACAGGTCCATAAATATAGGGACATCTACAATTCTACACACTCAATTCTAACATGTTTGGCTCTATACAGCAACACGGTGGATTTGAAATCAACAAGATGTGCTTTACCTGCAGACTATCAGCTTTAATTTGAGGGTATTTACATCCAAATCAGGTGAACGCTGTGGGAATTACAACAGTTTCTATTTCTGCCTCCCACTTGTTAAGGGACCAAAAGTAATTGGACAGTCGGCTTCTCAGCTGTTCCATGGCCAGTGTGTGTGTTATTCCCTTATTATCCCCATTACAATGAGCAGAATAAACAGAGTTCATCTCAAGTGTGCTGTTTGTATTTGGAATCTGTTGATGAACTGATTCTCTCACTTTATTACACTTGTCATTAAACTGAATTTCGATACTGAAATAAAAAAAAACAGCAATTTTTCCACTAACATTTAAGCGCTGTTGAACGCAGGGCCAGATTAAGAACACATTGGGCTTTGGGGCTTTAGCAAATCCAAGGGCCTTCGTTTTATTTTTTACCTCACAAAAGTGTGTGTATATATATATATATATATATATATATATATATATATATATATATATATATAGACCATTTCAATGTGGCTATGTCATCGGCCCATGAACATTTCCCGCTTGTTATTAATTTATTTCATTACCGTAATGAGACAATTCAATCATAACTTCATGTTAAAACAGCTATAATAACATTATTTGTCAATATGTGGAAATAAAAAATGTAAAACAGGAAATGCGCTGGGGCCATTGTTTTTGTTTACACCCCTAAAAAGGTCTATATATATATATATATATATAGTCCTGCACACATATAAGTCCTGCAAGTATACAAAATGAAGTTAAAGTAGAAACTGGCTGCAAAAATCAGCAAAACAAAAAAACATTTGCTATATTTCCAAAATAAGTGCTTAATAATAAATACTTTAAATAGAGTTTTACCTTTAAAACGGTTCTTTAGAACTTTAGCTGACCATAAATCCCTAATGATATGATATCTTTAATATCCACGGTTCTAATATCCAAAATAGCTTATTGTGGTCATCTGAGTTACAGAAAGCTAGCATCCTTATTTTATTTATTTATTTGTATATTTTTTTGCATCAGATATATTGCCTTGGTTTGGCTTATATTGCCTGGGCATTGGTTTCTTCTTGCCTGGCTTTCGTGTTTTTACATGGTGGCAGCGTGAAATAACCGTATAGCACTACCACAACAGATTCAGCTATTGTATGGTTAACAAACACTAAAGTATTTCCTATAAATGTCTATAGTATTTTTTTCATGTGGGAGACTGTCATTGCCTTATTTATGGGTCAAAGTTGAGGCGTCCCACTTTAAGGTCTATGTCTGATTAAATTAGGGATAGAATATTAAATTGTAGAAGTGTCTTTTTACTGTTTCTGTTCACTCCGCAAGGGTGTGTTCACACTCGAGCGCACGGAAATTGGGGGCAAAAACCCGGCGTGAGTCTGACTCCTCTTCTGCTCTCGAGACTTCTTCTTGTTGGCCATGTGGAAGTCGTGAAGCCCGTCTGGAGGAGCCAGGAACAGCGAGCTGGTCCTGTATATGGAGGGGAACCTGGAGCCTCCGGGCTGGTGCAGGTGTGTGTCGGACCCTGAGAGTGTGAGCCTGAGGGTGGGCGGCTGGAGGAGATCCGGTAGGGTGTTTCTCCTGCTCTGCAATCGCTCTGAAGGCATCGAATATTTCGTTCCGGTAGCTCCGAGCTTCTGTAACCAGAAACAACTTTATTCGGCAGATGTGTGCGCAAACACTGACATTTTTGGTGGTTTACAGGAGCTCAGTTAATGTGTTACAGTGCATTCACACGGGGCTTCAGCGTCAACACTTGACAGAGTTGGGGTTGACGAGATCGTCATGGTAGCATCAGCCAATGAAATTAGTCAGCAATCTGCTACTGGGGTATTTGCATACAGCGATTTGATTGGCTGACGCTTCCGTCGGCGCTTGAAAAGTTGAGAAAGTCCCAACTTCTGCTGCAAGCAAGGCCACTAAAGCAGCCTAAAGCCTGACGTCTAAAGCCTGACGTCACCCATTCAAAGTGTTGATGCTGACACCCCGTGTGAATGGGGCGTCAATGTTACCTGGCCATTTCCTGATTCAGGAACTAACGGGGAACACTGGCTGAATAAGAGATCCCCCTGATCCCCGTCCTGATCCTCCTCTTCCTCCAGCCTCTTCTCATAGGTCTGGCTGAGTTGCTCCAGGTTCTGGATGGCGAGCCACGGCTCCGAGCGCAGCCGCTGTCGGCCTCTGCTCCTAGGGGGCAGCACTGGGGACGCCGGCCCCCCTCCGCGGAAGTTAAAGATGTTTTCCCCGTCAGAGTTCGGAGAGTTCGTCTTCAGCTCAATATCTGAAGGTGACATGCAGGAGACGGGCGAGCTGTCCGGGGATGGAGGAACGTTCAGGTAGCGGCGTGTCACAGTACTGCCGTCGCTACTCAAATCTGTAGCGATGATGATAATATCGCGCCCTCGAGATCTGCACGCATCGACCAGCACCGTGAGCGTGTCCTGATCCTGAGCGTTTATTGCGTAAACCAGCGCAGATGCTCCAGAGTAATCCTCCATACTGGGATCCGCACCCGCTGTGATTAGCGCCTCCGCCACCTCCGGCCCGGCGCGCTCCATGCAGGCGTACATCAGAGCCGTGCGCCCCGATTTATCCTGGATGTTGGGATCTGCGTGGTGGCTCAGCAGGAACTGGATGATCCTGAGCATGGACCCTGCAGTCTGGCCGGCCCGTAGCGCTCTGCATGCGGCCAGCAGCGGTGTTTCTCCATGGTGATTCCTCTGGTTGACCTGCGCTCCTCCATCCACCAGCAGCCGTGCCAGACGCAGTTTCCCCTGCTCAGCGGCACTGATCAGTGGACTGCAGTCCAGCAGGTGATCCGCCCGCTCTGACATCACACAACGAGATGCTGAAATCACATTATTGGGACATTGTGATTTTTTTGTAAAAATTTATTTAGCCCTGTAAACTTTTAGCGAATACCATAGTGTGCTCTCACACTGATGATTATTTCACTTCTGGTCACGCCTTTAGGGTGGAGCTTTCAGTGGTGTAGGGCAGTGTGATCAGACCTTTAGGGTGGGGCTATAAGTCCTTTAGGGTGGAGCTATCAGCTCTTTAGGGTGGGGCTATCAATCCTTTAGGGTGGAGCTATTAGTCCTTTAAGGTGGAGCTATTAGTCCTTAAGGGTGGAGCTATCAGTCCTTTAGGGTGGGGCTATCAGTCCTTTAGGGTGGAGCTATCAGTCTTTTAAGGTGAAGCTATCAGTCCTTTAGGGTGGGGCTATCAGTCCTTTAGGGTGGAGCTATCAGTCCTTTAGGGTAGGGCTATCAGGCCTTTAGGGTGGGGCTATCAGGCCTTTAGGGTGGGGCTATCAGGCCTTTAGGGTGGGGCTATCAGGCCTTTAGGGTGGGGCTATCAGTCCTTTAGGGTGGAGCTATCAGGCCTTTAGGGTGGGGCTATCAGGCCTTTAGGGTGGGGCTATCAGGCCTTTAGGGTGGGGCTATCAGTCCTTTAGGGTGGAGCTATCAGGCCTTTAGGGTGGGGCTATCAGGCCTTTAGGGTGGAGCTATCAGTCCTTTAGGGTGGAGCTATCAGTCCTTTAGGGTGGAGCTATCAGGCCTTTAGGGTGGAGCTATCAGGCCTTTAGGGTGGGGCTATCAGTCCTTTAGGGTGGGGCTATCAGTCCTTTAGGGTGGAGCTATCAGTCCTTTAGGGTGGAGCTATCAGTCCTTTAGGGTGGAGCTATCAGGCCTTTAGGGTGGGGCTATCAGTCCTTTAGGGTGGGGCTATCAGTCCTTTAGGGTGGGGCTATCAGTCCTTTAGAGTGGGGCTATCAGGCCTTTAGGGTGGAGCTATCAGGCCTTTAGGGTGGGGCTATCAGGCCTTTAGGGTGGGGCTATCAGGCCTTTAGGGTGGGGCTATCAGGCCTTTAGGGTGGGGCTATCAGTCCTTTAGGGTGGAGCTATCAGGCCTTTAGGGTGGGGCTATCAGTCCTTTAGGGTGGGGCTATCAGGCCTTTAGGGTGGAGCTATCAGGCCTTTAGGGTGGGACTATCAGTCCTTTAGGGTGGGACTATCAGTCCTTTAGGGTGGGACTATCAGTCCTTTAGGGTGGGACTATCAGTCCTTTAGGGCAGGGCTATAAGTCCATTAGGAGTGGAGCTATCCGTCTATTTGGAGTAAAGCTATCAGTCGTTTAGGGATGGGTTATCAGTCCATTAGGGCGGAGCTGTTAGTCCTTTAGGGCGGGACTATCAGTCTTTTAGGGTGAAGCTCTCAGTCCTTTAAGGTGGGGTTATAAGTTCTTTAGGGTGGAGCTATCAGTCTATTAGGAGTGGAACTATCAGTCTTTTAGGGCGGGGCTATTAGTCCTTTAGGGCGGACTTATCAGTCCTTTAGGGCATGGCTATCAGTCCATTAGGGTTGAGCTATCAGTCTACTAGGAGTGGAACTATTAGTCTATTAGGAGCGAAGCGATCAGTCTTTTAGGGCGGGGCTATCAGTCTTTTAGTGTGCAGCTATCAGTCCTTTAGGGTTGGGGCTATAAGTCCTTTAGGATGGGGTTATCAGTCCTTTAAGGCAGGGCTATCAGTCCATTAGGGCGGAGATATCAGTGTATAAGGGGTGGAGCTATCAGTCTTTAGGGCGGGCCTATCATTCCATTAGGGAGGAGTTATCAGTCATTTAGGGCGGGGCTATGAGTCCATTAGGTAGGAGTTCTATGAGGAGTGGAGCTATCAGTCTTTTAGGGATGGGTTATCAGTCCTTTAGGGTTGGTGCTATCAGTCTATTAGGGCGGAGCGGTTAGTCCTTTAAGGTAAAGCTATCAGTCCTTTAAGGTGGGATTATAAGTCCTTTAGGGTGGAGCAATCAGGCCTTTAGGGCGGAGTTATCAGTCCTTCAGGATGGAGTTATCAGTCCTTTAGGGCAGGGCTATCAGTCCATTAGAGCGGAGCTATCAGTCTATTAGGAGTGGAGCCATCAGTCTTTAAGGGTGGGGCAATCAGTCCAGTAGGGCGGAGCTATTAGTCTATTAGGAGCAAAGCCATCAGTCTTTTAGGGCGGGGCTATCAGTCCAATAGGGAGTAGTTAACACTCCTTTAGGGCAGGGCTATCAGTCCAGTAGGGCGGAGCTATCAGTCTATTGGGAGCAGAGCTATCATTCCTTTGGAGCGGGGTTATCAGTCCTTTAGGGCAGACCTATCAGTCCTTTTGGGCAGGGCTAACAGTACATTTGGGCGGAGCTATCAGTCTTTTAGGGCGAGGCAATCAGTCCATTAGGGAGGAGATATCAGTCCTTTTGGGCGGGGCTACCAGTGTGTGTACTGATTTTGTTCATTCATTAATCATCCTTCATTTTGTTAGCTACGCCAATCTTGTATTGATTTAGTTGGTTCCCAAAGGATGAAATAATGCACCACCCATATATATATATATATATATATATATATATATATATATATATATATATATATATATATATATATATATATATATATATATATATATATATATTAGATGTCTATTTTTCTAAATTTATAATCTGGACTTTAATGCATTAAGTCTGCATGAAACGGAAGTTAAGACTGTCCTTTTTTCCCATTTTCATGATGAGATACATCCACAATTGTAAAAAGGATATATATATATATATATATATATATATATATATATATATATATATATATATATATATATATATATATATATATATATATATAAAGTATTACATGAATGAATTATATGCAGCTTATCGATGGAACACGTCTGAATCTCAGAGGTGTTTAAAGGGTTAAATGATCTCTCAGCACAACAAAAGCAGCTTTGAAATGCCTTCATCTCTGCAGGAGTTTCTATTTTAAACAGCAGAGCTGGAAAACCTCCAGAAAGATTCAACATACAAACATTGCTTATTCTAGTTTAACCAAATCTCCAATTCTGTAAAATGTTTTTAATAAAAAACAAACTTAAAAACGATCACAAACGTTGAGATGACTTGTTAAATATTGTGTCTGAATACACTGAACAATCGATGGTTTAATTAATAACAAAAATATAAATACTTGCACAGCAGTGTTGATAAAATTTCTCTCTTCCATATTTTACTATATATCATATGTGATTAGATTTTATTTCATAATTTCATGAGATTTATTTTTATCTAATTGTTCTTTATCTTATCATTAGTTTAATATTAGTTGTGTTTAGAGAAGTCTTTCATGGATATCATCTAAATAAACAAATCAATTAAGATTAAATTACTAAAAACAAATAAAATAAAAACATTTGATTTTATAAATCTGTATTTTTAAAGATCTAAAATATGCACATTTCATCTCTACATATTTAAATATATGATAAAATACCTGCAGATTTAGCTGAAGATCGCCTCACAGGAGATGCAGATTCACCTGCTGGAGTGAAGAGACGAGTGTGTGTGTGACAGAAAGAGAGAGCGAGAGAAAATGTGTGTGTCAGTGGCTTCATGCTGTTAGTGTTTGCTGATAGTGAATAAAAACACTGAATAAAACAACAATCACCTCTTATGAGGGTAAAATATTTACTTTTAAGCACAAAAAGAGCAACAATACAAAAACAAAAATAATCATTGTAATAGTCCATATTCTAGTGCGTATAATTTAATTTTTTGATATATATTTATACACTCACCGGCCACTTAGGTACAACTTACTAGTACAGGGTGGCATGGATTCAACAAGGTACTGGAGAGAGGTTTTGCTCCATATTGACATGATAACATCACACAGTTGCTGCAGATTTGTTTGCTGCACATCCGTGATGCCAATCACCTGTCAAAAGTAGGCATCCCTACTAATAAAATAATAATAATAAAGCTTAAACCAGCCTTAGCTGGTTGACCAAGCTGGTTTTAGAGGGGTTTTGGACACTTTTAGGCTGGTTTCCAGTCTGGTTTTAGCAGGGCATAGCTGGTTTTGGTTGGGCTCCCAGCCTGGCTAGGCTGGTCAAGCTGGTTTTAACTGGTCATCTCCCAGCCTGACTGGCTAAGACCAGGCTGGTGATGGCGGGAATTCAGCCTGGAAGTGGCCAAACCACTCTAAAACCAGCCTAGGCTGGTTTAAGCATTTTTTTTAGTAGGGTTTGGTATCGAACCAAAACTGGAACTAATCTAACATCACTGTCCAAAAATTAGTACGCCTAAATTAATCTATTGGGGTACTATATTAAATAAGTAATTAATAAACACGCACAATCAGGAGAAACATTAAAACATGTAAAATTTTGTTCGAAATTAAATGTATTCTCTTTCTACTCTTTAAGATTTTCGATGACCAAACTCTCATTTTAATGGATAAAACAGTTTAATAAAAGTGTTTTGTTTAAATGCTTAATTTCTCCTCAGCTGCTCGCGTGTCCTTTATTTTGGCGGAAGTTTACGTGGACTCCACCGGAAGCGCTGTTGCCTGTCTGCGTTGTTAGCTGAAGTGGTGTTTTTCTCCAGCGTCAGAGAGTGTGTTTATTCACTGTAAGATGAGCTGCTCGCTGCAGACGCAGCTTGGCTCCATCCTGGAGGTGCTGTTGAAGTCGGCTGCGTCGCAGATCGGGCAGCTGCTTCAGGAGGACGCGGCCGCGGTGCAGATGGAGATCCGCCGCAGAAACGAGGAGATCCGCAGCCTGAAGAGCCGCCTGTTGAACTGCGAGAGCCGGCTGGAGAAACTGACTGCTGCCCGCTGCTCTGTCGGCGTACAGGTGCACATCACCGACACCGGTCAGTCTGCATAACTCACTACACACTTAACTTAGAGGATCCACAGTTATATAAATATGTCATACTGCACACTTAGAGGATTAACACACTTGTATGACTATACACTCACCGGCCACTTTATTAGGTACACCTTACTAGAACCGGGTTGGATCCATTTTGCCTTTAGAACTGCCTTAATCCTTCATAGATTCAACAAGATTCAGGTACATCAGAGCAGTCAACGTTTCTCCAATCTTCTATTGTCCAGTTTTGGTGAGTCTGTGTGAATTGTAGCCTCAGTTTCCTGTTCTTAGCTGACAGGAGCGGCACCCGGTGTGCTCTTCTGCTGCTGTAGCCCATCCGCCTCAAGGTTGGACGTGTTGTGTGTTCAGAGATGCTCTTCTGCAGAGCTCGGTTGTAGCGAGTGCTTATTTGAGCTACTGTTGCCTTTCTATCAGCTGGAACCAGTCTGGCCATTCTCCTCTGGCATCAACACGACATTTGCGCCCACAGAACTGCCGCTCACTGGATATTTCCTCTTTGTCGGAGCATTCTCTGTAAATCCTAGAGATGGCCGTGCATGAAAATATCAGCAGATCAGCAGTTTCTGAAATACTCAGACCAGCTTGTTTCCCATTTATTAAAAGTAAAGTTTCATCCGTCATGTTTTTTTTGGAAACAAACATTTATTTACATTTTTTTTACGACAAAACAGTGGTAAAAGTGTCTCGTGTCATCATGTACAATAACTAGTACAGAGGATTCTAGATATGCCAAAAGTTATCTGATATCAGTCATGGTTTAAATGAAAAATGTAAACTTACTGTGGTTTCTCTTGAAACTGGTAATCGTGAAACACTAATGATGTATTTCTCCTCAGGTGTGACGGCTCACGATCAGGAGACGCTCATGTTGACCAGTCCAATGATGAACGTCGTTTCAGAGGAGAAACCTCTTAATCCTCGTGCACCTGAGCTCCAATTACAGCCTCTTAAACGAGAAGATCCTGCGAGTCGAGCAGCTCCACATGCAGAAGAGGAAGAAGAAGAGGAAGAGCTCAGCGGTCTGGAGCTCCAGATGAAGATCGAGCAGGTGGAGGAGTTTGTAGACCGGAAACTCAGCATTCACGATGGAAACTTTTATTTTTGGAGTCCGCAGAAAGAGCTTGGGCATCATCAGAGTCTAGCGGAGCCTGAATCACATGCACAGAGCTTTCCAGATGCACATGTTATGATGATGGAGGATTCTGGAGCTTCATCTGCTTTAGTTCAGGAGAACGACAGGAATAATGACTGTGATTTTAATCTCCTACAGTCTCACGGACACAGCAGCGTATCGGACGCATTGTCACTCTTAGCATCACATCCGCCTAAAACACACACACAGAGTCTGCAGCAAGGTGGGTTTGCATTTTAAATCACATTTTATTTTAATTGATTTAAGTTGAGTAAGGAGGTGCTGATACCGATAACAATGTAGATTTTGAGGCCGATATATTAGCTGATACATATCAAGGTTATTATAGTTTTTGTTTTGTTTTTTGTTAGATTTTATTTCGATACAATTTTTTAAATTGCTGTACATTTCAATTTATTTGGGATATTTTATTAGGGAATTTTTTTATCAATACCGATAACTCTTCAGATTTGGAGGCCGATAGCGTATATATTAGCCAATAAATACGAAGATTATTATAGTTATTTTTTCAATTAGGTTTTATTTTAATACTATTTTTAAATTTATGTTTAGAAGGGATACAACGATATGGAATTTTTGACCGAAACAATAACCGATAACTTGTTACATTTATAGGCCGATATATTAGCCAATAAATGTCAAGGTATTTATAGTTTGGATTTTAAATAAGCTTTTATTTTGTTACTATTTTAAAATTGCTCTATATTTAAGTTTGTAGGGATGTACCAATATGGATTTTTGACTGATAAGATAACCGATAACAGTTCAGAATTTTACGCTAATACCCAATATATTAGCCGATAAGTATCAAGGTAATTATAGTTTGGATTTTTAAATTAGTTTATATGTCAGTAGTGTTTTGACCGATACCGATAAATGAAAACTCTTTAGATTTGGAGACCGGTATATTAGCCGATAAATACCAAGATAATTACAGTTTTAAAATTTTGACCGATACTGATAACTCTTTAAATTTGAAAGTCAATAGACGATATATTAGCGGATGAATGTCAAGGTTATTATAGCTTGGATTATTAAATTAGCTTTTATTTTGATTCTATTTTTAAAATTGCTGTACATTTAAGTTTATGAGGATTCTTGATCGATACCGATAACCCTGTAGATTTGGTGGCTGATATATTAAATGATAAATATTAAGTTAATTATAGTTCAGACTATTAAATAAATGTGTATTTCGATACTATTTTTACGACAAAGCAGTGGTATAGGTGTCTCATGTCATCATATACAATAATAACTCGTACAGAGGATTCTAGATATGCCAAAAGTCATCCGATATCAGTCATGGTTTAAATGAAAAATGTAAACTTACTGTGGTTTATCTTGAAACTGGTAATATGAAACACTAATGATGTATTTCTCCTCAGGTGTGACGGCTCACGATCAGGAGACGCTCATGTTGACCAGTCCAATGATGAACGTCGTTTCAGAGGAGAAACCTCTTATTCCTCATGCACCTGAGCTCCAATTACAGCCTCTTAAACGAGAAGATCCTGCGAGTCGAGCAGCTCCACATGCAGAAGAGGAAGAAGAAGAAGAGCTCAGCGGTCTGGAGCTCCAGATGAAGATCGAGCAGGTGGAGGAGTTTGTAGACCGGAAACTCAGCATTCATGATGGAAACTCTCAGATTTGGAGCTCGCAGAAAGATTTCCAGCATCATCAGAGTCTAGCGGAGCCTGAATCACATGCACAGAGCTTTCCAGATGCACATGCTATGATGATGGAGGATTCTGGGGCTTTATCTGCTTCAGTTCAGGAGAACGACAGGAATAATGACTGTGATTTTAATCTCCTACAGTCTCACGAACACAGCAGCGTATCGGACACATTCTCACTCTCAGCATCACATCCGCCTAAAACACACACACAGAGTCTGCAGCAAGGTGGGTTTTTAAATTACATTTTCTTTTGATTGCAGTACATTTAAGTTGAGTAAGGACGTGCTGATACCGATAACCCTGTAGATTTTGAGGCCGATATATAAGCTGAAAAATATCAAGGTTATTATAGTTTGGATCTTTCAATTAGGTTTTATTTTAATACTATTTAATACTATAAATTGCTGTAAAATGTATGTTTAGAAGGAATGCAACGATAGGAAATATTTGACCGATACAATAACCGATAACTTGTTAGATTTGTAGGCCAATATATTAGCCTATACATATCAAAATATTTATAATTTGGATTTTAAATACATTTTATTTTGATACAATTTCAAATTGCTGTATATTTAAGTTTGGTAGGGATGTACCGATGACATTTTTGACCGATAACCGATAACACTTTCGATTTGGAATGCCAGTAGCCGATATCTTATTCTATAAATGTCATGGTAGTTATAGTTTGGATTTTTAAATACATTTTTTCTATACCTATTGAAAATTGCTGTATATTTAAGTTTAGTAGGGATGCATAGATATGGGATTTATGACCGATAAGATAACCGATAACACTTCAGATTTGGATACCAATAGTCAATATATTAGCCGATAAGTATCAAGGTAATTATAGTTTGGATTTAAATTTTTTTTTCTATATTTTTTAAAAATTGCTGTATATTTAAGTTTAGTAGGGATGCACAGATATGGAATTTTTGACTGATACAGATAACTAATATCTCTTCAAATTAGGATATCTTACCCAATAAGTATCAAGGTAATTATAGTTTAGATTTTTAAATGAGTTTTTATGTCAGTGGTGTTTGGACCGGTACCGATAAATGATAAGATCCGGAGACCGATATATTAGCTGATTTCAAGGTAATTCTAGTTTGACATTTTTGACCGATATGATAACGGATTACTCTTTAGATTTGGAGATCGATATATTATTCAATAAATATCAAGCAAATTATAGTTTGACATTTTTGACCGATATGATAACGGATTACTCTTTAGATTTGGAGACCGATATATTAGTCAATAAATATCAAGCAAATTATAGTTTGACATTTTTGACCGATACTGATAACGGATTACTCTTTAGATTTGGAGATCGATATATTATTCAATAAATATCAAGCAAATTATAGTTTGACATTTTTGACCGATATCGACAACTGAGTACTCTTTAGATTTGGAGACCGATATATTAGCCGATAAACATTAAGCTAATTATAGTTTGACATTTTTGACCGATACCGACAACTGAGTACTCTTTAGATTTGGAGACCGATATATTAGTCAATAAATATCAAGCAATTTATAGTTTGACATTTTTGATCGATACCGACAACTGAGTACTCTTTAGATTTGGAGACCGATATATTAGCCGATAAACATTAAGCAAATTATAGTTTGACATTTTTGACCGATACCGACAACTGAGTACTCTTTAGATTTGGAGACCAATATATTAGTCAATAAATATCAAGCAAATTATAGTTTGACATTTTTGATCGATACCGACAACTGAGTACTCTTTAGATTTGGAGACCGATATATTAGCCGATAAACATTAAGCTAATTATAGTTTGACATTTTTGACTGATACCGACAACTGAGTACTCTTTAGATTTGGAGACCAATATATTAGTCAATAAATATCAAGCAAATTATAGTTTGACATTTTTGATCGATACCGATAACTGAGTACTCTTTAGATTTGGAGACCGATATATTAGCCGATAAATATTAAGCAAATTATAGTTTGACATTTTTGACCGATACCGACAACTGAGTACTCTTTAGATTTGGAGATCGATATATTAGCCGATAAATATTAAGCTAATTATAGTTTGACAGTTTTGACCGATTCCGACAACTGAGTACTCTTTAGATTTGGAGATCGATATATTAGCCGATAAATATTAAGCTAATTACAGTTTGACATTTTTGACCGATACAGACAACTGAGTACTCTTTAGATTTGGAGATCGATATATTAGCCGATAAATATTAAGCAAATTATAGTTTGACATTTTTGACCAACCGACAACTGAGTACTCTTTAGATTTGGAGATCAATATATTAGCCGATAAATATTAAGCTAATTATAGTTTGACATTTTTGACCGATACTGACAACTGAGTACTCTTTAGATTTGGAGAGCGATATATTAGCCGATAAATATTAAGCTAATTATAGTTTGACAGTTTTGACCGATACCGACAACTGAGTACTCTTTAGATTTGGAGATCGATATATTAGCCGGTAAATATTAAGCTAATTATAGTTTGACATTTTTGACCGATACCGACAACTGAGTACTCTTTAGATTTGGAGAGCAATATATTAGCCGATAAATATTAAGCTAATTATAGTTTGACATTTTTGACCGATACTGATAACTGAGTACTCTTTAGATTTGGGGAAAAAAAAGTGTATTTCGATACAATTTTTAAAATGGCTTTTTTAGGTTTTGTAAAGATGCACCGATATGGAATTTTTTGACCGATATGATAACCGATAACTCTTTAGATTTGGATACCAATAGTCAATATATTAGCCGATATGTATCAAGGTAATTATTTGGTGATAGTATGTTATGAAATTTTTTTCTGCATGATTGCAAAAATAAACGTGTTTAAACATAAATGAGTTTTAATTGAAAAAACAATTTAAAAAGTAGCATTCTGTGCGAACTGCCCCTAGAAACATACAAAACATGCATATTGGCTTGAGCATGATTTAGAACCGCTGGTATTGGGGGTGATACTGAATACAGCTTTTTTTTGGTTTACTAAAATGATCTTGTTCTGCATGCAGGAGAGGATCAGCGGCTCCCGACAAGCCTCAAACCGTTCCGCTGTGAGGAGTGTGGGAAGAGCTTCATGCAGCGCACAAAACTGATCACACACGGACGCGTGCACACCGGAGAAAAGCCCTTCCGCTGCCGGTTCTGCGGGAAGATGTTCTCCAGGCAGGACAACTGTCTGCGGCACATGCGCTTGCATGGCAGACAGAGCTCGCAGGCACGTAACACTGGACTGAGGGGTGCTGCACAAAACAAAGGGATTAAGGCCTTTTCACACCAAGGAAGATAACAATAAATATAAGGCAAAAAAATCTTAAAATTCTAATATCAAGAAACATTTTCTAGACAAAATAGTCTTATTTTCAGAAATATTAAGTGAGTTTTTCCTTAAATTACACATGAAATCAAAACTAAGCATATTGATGTTGTGAGCTCACATTGCTAGTTTCCTGGTGAAGAATTCATCTGTGCATGTCATTGAGAAAAAAACAAATATTGCACCGTTCTAATCTATAATTGAAATATAAAAACGCACTTCCTGTTTGTTTTCAGGTAAATTTTCAGATTAGGTCTCTCTGAGGCATTGGGCGTGGCTAACATGCTTAACCACGCCCCCTCCATCTATGTTTAGGTTATGCTTTTCATTCCAGCAGGTGTCCTCTGTGTGTGACTAGCACAATTTAAGTCAATCCAGCTCGTTATTAAAATTGTATTCATTTACTCATGACAAACGATCTATTCAAACAGTGAATGTCGTGATTTCAGTCAGCGTAGTAGAAAATGAACTAATTATTTTTGCATTTTCATCAACACCAAAACTAGCACTGGATACCTGAGGCGCTTGTATTGTTATACTTCAGTTAGCGAGCCCCTTTTTTAATCATTATCTGTTTTTCACTATCTATTATTTATCATTATGTGCCAATTGTTTCTCGCCATTATCTTTAAACAATCTTTTAAAAGAGCTTCTCCAAAAATGTCGCCTTAAATTGTGTGAGCTCTTTACATCTCAGTGATTCTGATTGGCTGTCAGGGTTTGATCAGCTGTTGTTGTGGTGTAAACTTCTTTAACACTGTGAGTGATTTTTAAAAATACATCTTTGTTTATGTTACGATGTGTTTATAGTTATCGTGATTGGTGTGAACGGGCTTTTAAGCTAGGTTTTTAAAGCTATCCTGGATTAATTTAACTATTACTCAGTTGCACGAATGCAGGCTAAATTCAGTCACTTTGGGTATTTATTTGCAGCTAGCATCCAGAGCAGGCTCAATTTCTGGTGATTTATTTGTTATTTTTGCTGTTAATGCTACTAGAAATTAATGTGTTTTACAATCCCGCTATGTTCATGATTAAAATGCAGTGGTTCCCTATAATGTTGAATGGAAAGAGCACAGACAGAGCCTTATTTACTTATATGAAGAGATTTCTTTTGTGCAACTTTTAAATTGGGGCTTGTTTTAAAAATGTAATTTAGATTTGTTTTATTTTAATCTCACAAAGACATGAGCAGCAATGGCTTAATAAAAGGACGCCTATTCATTTACTGTACTTTGTCTTGTGTCATTTTGGAAAATTAATTGTGAGAATCGAATTGTGAAATCAAACAGCAAATCAATTTAGCGCAAAAGAAAGCAAATGAGATGCATTAATTGTTTAGAGCAGCTCACTGTAGTATTGGTAACCTAGCAACCAACAGTACACAAGGAAAGCATAATAATAGTCACTTGGTCAGGGCTTTACATTAACAGCCGCCAAATGCGGGCAGATTTCAGCTGTGGCGGGTTAGACAGGCACTCTCACTAGCCACTTTGGCTGGTTGAATATCATCTATGATTTAGTTTTCTTTAAAGCAGGGTTTGACATAAAAAAGGCCCAATATTCATGCAAATGTAATCTTAGGCTTCGTTTACACTGCACGTCTTCGAGCTCAAATCTGATTTTTTTCTCAGATCTGATATTTGTGCATGGCTGTTCACACTGCTCTTATAAATGTGGCCAATATCAGGTTTGCAGTGAACAGGTCATGGACCCGCATGCGCAAAAGTGCATTACAGACAGCGCAAGATGTCTGATTATGCACACAATGTGTGTTCTGTACAAACCACGTTGTCAGATTGTGCTTATTGCCCTTTTTATAGACATCCGTGGTGTATTTAATGTACTGTAAAATGGTTGCCCTGCTACTTCTAATGTATATTTCACCATTTAAAACTTAAAATAAGTCTCTTGTGATTGAAAACACTGATCAGTTGTTATTTCCCTGCTGAAAAATCAGCAGGGAGCGCAGCATCTCGTTGTCATATTTCTTTTGCATTGTTTGCTGATTTTATTCAACAAAACTAGCATAAGCCGAGTGTTTAGTGCGAGTTGGAGCTGCTTTGCCTTATGGTGAATGCATAAGAGACTGTTATCATCAATAACGTTACCTGATTAGCACAAATTTTAGAACTTACAAAAACGTAAAAACTTAATCTATGAAATGTTCTGCCTTTGTGCTTTGTTTTCTTTGTTTGCTCGTTACTACAGTCGTAGACAGCGCTAAAGTCCTGCATCTTCACTTAATAACACTGTCTTGTCTAGTGCAGTTGAATGACTTGTATCCTGGGAGCACTGTACCAATGTGGCGGCGCTATTGACGCATGCTCAGGGTCCCTATGCGATATCTAGTGTATATATCTATGGTATCCCTTCTGCGAACCCTGCGCGTTCACACACGCCGGTCAGCTGATCTTCCGCGTCATCACGTGTCTATAGCGACAGCACTGTTTACTTATTCCTCACCGACTCGCATCTGTGTCTGTCTGGAGATGATATTAATCACCGATACGACGTTAATAACGATCTTCTGAAGCGGCGGTGATGTCGGAGAAGCGGCGCGCGGGTGTGCTGGTGTCCGGCTCGAGCTCCAGCAGCGGATGTGAGGCGGATCAGGAGTTCGTGTCGCGGTCCGGGGTGAGCGCGCTGCTGGCCGGGGCGCTGCTCCGTCTGCTGGACTGCCGCTCCGGGGACCCGCTCGGGTTCCTGGCCGAACATTTCGCGCATCTGTCGGCGGAGGCGGAGGAGGGAGGTGCCGAGCAGCGGAGCTTGAGCAGAGCACTGTGGATGCTGAGTCTGCAGCATCACTCGCAGAGGTTACACACACACATAAGCATATATACACACACTCAGACATACTTACACAGTCAGACACACACGTATAAACACAGGCAGGCATACTCATTAATTTAGACAGACACACACTCAAATATGTGCCCTGGTGTACATTTTTGAGAACTGAGAAATAAGTGCTTGCGGGTACATATGGCTGCATTTTGAGTGTAAAACTAATGTTACGTGCTATACCACTGACCGCTTACCTCCATATAGATGGCTTTTTCGGTGAGACTGGTTTGCTTGGTAGCTCATAGCTAGGCCCACACGGAATCTGCGCATGCAAAATCTTTTAGCCCGTCATTATTTCTGTTTATTTACTTGAGTAAATGTGTGTAAATTTATATTTATTCAGTTTTTAAATTAACTTCAGCAATATTATTGACTAATATGAAGATATTAATATGATTTATTTATAATATAGTTTGTAAAGTAATATTTTCTGTCTTTAAGTAGAGATATTATATGAGAGACTAGCTTTGTTCACCAAATAAAGTGGATCTAATTGGATTTGCATTGTAAACATTACATACAAGTTAAAAAGGTATTACTTTTTATTTCATATATTAAGTTTTACTTATGATACTCCCAAAACCATTCCGCATAAATCCGCAGATTCTGTCTAGCCCTACTCATAGCCACACTTGAGAGGTGTAGCGGAGCAAATCAGGGTCTGAGTCGAGCGAAGGACAGTTTCAGAAACAACGAAACCCAAAAAAGCAGTGTGAGATCACGGTAGAAGCAAACGGTCTTGATGGCTTTTCTCTTTAGCTTGTTTTTGTTTGTTATGTGCACATGCCTCTTCATTCATTTAACGTCTTGTGTGTATTGTGTATTAGCTTGCTCAGTGTGCATGAGCAAATGGGTTGTGTCGCAATGCAATTAGTTTTTGTTTCACGACTTTTCAGGGCTCAAATTTAAGGATTTACCAAGTTTATCTCTGACCACACCAAGTATTTTTTAGCCACAATTTTTTATGTGTCAAAACATGAAAAATGTTGCATTTTAGGGGCACTTTCTAATTCAACAAAACTTTTCTTTAAAAAAAACACTACATTTAAAAAATAATTATTGTCATGTATCTAAAATATGCACAGTAATCTGTCCTGGCTAACAGTCCCAGATCAGCAGTTAACTACACATAAATGGGGAGTAATCTTCCATTAAAGCAATGTTATTGTAAAAAAAAAAAATAAACCACAGTAACAAAAATAACTGCAAGTGAAAGAAAGCAGGTGAAACATACCGTGTTTGATAATGAAAAGATGTTCTTGTGCACATGGTTAATATAGGCCTTTTAATAATCTGTTCAAAGAATAATTAAAATGAAAGCAGTGACCACTGCAGCTTACAAAAGAATATGTGTATTTTTTAATCTTGAGCACTTGAAAGCAGCAGGACTGTCTGCACGTGAACGATCATCGCTCTTTGTCCAGTCTATAGCCCCTTTCACACAGTGATACCGGTAAATATCCGGAAAAAAATTTCCGGAATGACTTTACCGGTATATTCAAAAAAAGCGCTGTTCACACAGGCGAGGACGTTACGGAAATTTTCCGGAAAAGAGCATTCACACATCCACTCCAAAATAGCGGTAAATTCTGACATCATTAACCACAAATGAGCTTTAAACGGCTGCGCTTGTGTTTGTAAACATTTGACTAAATTACAAACTCTGTGGATGATCAATATTGTGAACAACTTTCACAGGATCACTTTCGCATGTCAAGATGTTAATAATAATATGTGCGTGTGCTGGCGCTCATAGGCTGTTTCACAGGCACACGCAAAGCTTGAAGGTAAACAAACAACGGCTTATCATAAGCATCTCATCGATGATTATTTACACAGTTGGCATTAAGAAGAACATATAAACGTGATCTGACTAACTTCTAGCAGCTAAATGTGTCTGGAAAAATATTCAAAGGCTTTTATCCTCACAAACCGCGCGGACGTAAATGCGTCTGACTGTTGTGATTGGCTAAAGCAGACGTCTCACGTCAGCACGTTCTAGGCGTGCACGCGCTTATTACGGGAATCTTCCTTCTGCGTTCACACAGCGCAGCATTCCGGCAAATTACCGCTAATGTTACAACTTCTCTTTCCGGAAAATAGCCAGAACGAATTTACCGGTATTTTCAAAAAGGACCTGTTCACACATACACACCTTTCCGGAAAATTGCCGGCAATTTTCCGGAAAGGTCTGTATGTGTGAAAGGGGCTAATATCAAAGGGAACAGACGTGCAAGTAAACGAGAGCGCGCGCGCTTTTTTAACAGTCGCGCGCATCACATCATATCACCGATGCGCGCAAGTGATCACCCTCTCGTTCGGTATTTACCTTCCGTTTTGCTGTTTTGCTCGCGCGAACAGTTATTTTTGTCATTCGTGCTGCTTCTCGATTCTAAGATCACATTTGCACGAATATTGGGCCATGCTTATTGTCAAACCCTGCTTTTAAGAAAACTACAATTTGTAGCAGATTTGCAACCAGCCAAAGTGGCTAGTGGAGGTGTCTGTCTAACCTGCCAGAGCTGAAATCTACCCCCATTTGGCGGGTTGGCGGGTGTCAATGTAAAGCCCTGTGCACAACACTGTGTTCGCTATGAAAGGAAAAAACATATTGAATGCCTGTCGAAATCATTACTAAAATGCCATATGGTCATTTAAATGATGTGCGCACAGGTTTCACTTTCACTTCCAAGTGTGGCTCATGGCTGCCGTCACTGTGAGAAAAAAAACACACACACATGCAAATCAAACCTCCCGCACAACGCTCTGTGCAAATAACTGAACTATTTACAACTTTATTACCGGTTACAGCATATGCAGGTTCTGTTCACTAAAGTAGGCGTCATGCACGCACACGCGTTCTCAGTAGTAAACAAACAGCTGGTGGTCAGCTCACGTGTAATTTTGCGGCCGCGAATACATCATTACATGAAGACAGAAATGACATTTCTGGGTGAATTATACCTAATAAATACAGTATGTGTCACTTTTAACCCTGTTTGAAGGGGTCAATGTTTCTTTGAAGATTTGTGCGACTGCCTCGCTTCTCTCCTGACCTTGAAAATATAGTTGGCTGAATCTTAGAAAAGCTGATTTAAGATCGTGTGTAGGGTCGAATCGAGATCGTGATCTTTTTTTGATTAATCGTTGGTTTGTTAAATGAAATAATAATCTAGCGCAGTGGTTCTCAAACTGTGGTACGCGTACCACTAGTGGTACGCGGGCTTCCTCCTAGTGGTACGTGGAGGAACCGCTGAATAATGAAACAAACAATTAACACTTTTAATCCTTTAATGCGTAATATAACATCGATGTGATCAGCATTGGCTGTTTTGTGAAGTGTACAATCACAACGCTGTGCTTAGAATGTTTATTTTAGTGCATTGTGTCATAAGCTGCTGAAAATCAGTTTCCGAAGTTTAAGAATTGATTCTGAAGCGTGATTTGACTGACACAAAAAGTGGCCAATCATAGTCGACCTTGTCTAGTTGCGTGAAACGTAAAGGCGGGACAAATGCTTTCTGTGTTGCAGAGACAGAAAAAACAACTTAAAACAAATGTTTCGTTGGAATAATGCTTCTCGGATGTTTTCACTATAGAGATGTCTAGCAGAGTAATTAAACCGCGGACATATTTCCTGCCTTTTTGATGATCTACAAACACGTTTCGCTCTCCGACAGCCAGTCTCTCGCCTCTGACCTGTCACTCCTCTAAATACATTCTGAATGGCGGCGCGGGAATGGAGGTATTGCGCAATAACTCATTTCTGCAAATGCGGCGAGTGCTTTATTTTAACACGACAGCGCATTCATGTACGCAAATCGCTATAACAGATATGTGAGCTTTTAAATAGGCTTTTTTTTTTTTTTTCAAATGAACTGCAAGTGCTCTCAGGATCGCCTGTGTGCTCAGATTGAATACAATCGCGATCTTTCCACTATTAAAGTAGACATTATTTATCTTTGTTTCTTGACTAAATTTAGTCAAAAGTATTCAAAGTTATCAAGTATTTAGAAATAGATTGATACATGATCGATGACAATGCTAATGGTCTTATTTGGCTGTGTTGTGAAGTGAAACTTACTTTTAGCAAAGGTGTATTTTTTTTTCTTTTTTTTTCTTTACGACAAAATAATTATGCTGGAAATATTTCTGGATGAGGTATTTGTGTGATTTATTCTGATCTGTCTTAAAGCATTACAGGTCAAAGCAATCCATTGTTACTTATTGTTTATTTATCAAAATTAACAATAAGGCTCTTAAAGCACTGCTTTGATTAATGTAGTGTTTTCATTTCAAATACCTCAAGTAAAATGAAGTCATTTGTTTTATTAATTTTTTTTTTTTACTGACAGTGTACTTGTATTTTTTTTTAAAGTTTCTATTTTAGATTAGGTTAAATGTAAAATAAAATCTACATGTGATGTACAGCTTTTTAAGAAACAAATTTGCCATATTGTAAAGAAAAATAGTGTAAAATATGTAAATAAAAGGCTAAATGTAAATATTTTTACCATATACTTCAATTAAACCTTTCAAAGCTTGTAAATATCGTTTAAAAAATGGGCAAAAAGTGTCTCTATGGCCTTAAAGTTTATGTGGTAGTTTTGCCAGTGCTATTGAAAAAGATTAATTGTCATGAAAGGAAAAATTGACTATACTTTCTTTGTTAGTGCAATTTCCTATACATGTAGCTTTGGGATTTAAGCAATTAAACCATTCAATCAGGTTTCCATGTAAAAAAGTGATTTCATAATGAAAATCAGATTTTTTTTTTTCAAAAGTAACCAACTAGTACTTTTTAAAAGAGTACTTTGTACTTTTACCTAATATTAGTATTATTTACTAAAATTTGTGTTATTTTAGCAGCGTAATAGTATTTTTACTTGAGTACAAAAAAAATTTCACAAGCATTTAGTGTAGGTTTATTATATTATGAATATATGATTAATAAATATTATTTTTAATGTTTTTTATGTGTATCTATTCCTATGCAATGTTTTATGGTTTGCTGAGAATACATTTCAGGTCTTCAATACATAGCATGTCAGTCTTGAGAAAAAAAAATAGATGCTAGAATTGATTTTCATTAGGCTGTGCCTGTATGAACCCTGTCATGTACATTTAACATATATTTCAAGATTTGTCTGAAAGTGTAGGAATATGACATATAGCCTATATTTATAAGGTCCAAGCAACATCTCCAGCTTTTGATGAATAGGCTACAATGAATACTTTAGATTTAAGTACAGCAGTTTTCTTTTTACTTTTTAAGAACAGGTCATTTTTAATGAACTTTTAAAAGCACATTTTAACAAAAACTTTTCTTTTTTAATCTGCAAGCACAGTTAATGTTCAGACTATTTCAAATGTTTAAAGTGACTGATAATAATACATATTCTTAATAATAGGAATTAATCTGCATCGTTTTTAAACTGTGCACACCTGTAGCTGCTTAATTAGGCCTACAACGTTATTTTTTAATACTGGTTAAAAAATAGCGTCGTAAGGTGGTACTTGGAGAGACAATTTTTTTCTAAGGTGGTACTTGGTGAAAAAAGTTTGAGAACCACTGATCTAGCGTAAATAAAATGAAAGTGAAATATTCAGAGAAGCCAATATTAAACTGTTTTCACTATTAATGACACATTTGAGTAAGCAGGAGATGCTTTTACATTGTATTCTCAGCACTGAATTACCCAGATTACCTCGGAAGAACAAACTCTGTTGGAGGGATGAGAGAACTCAGAAACTGGATGCGAGAATAGAGATGTCTGCATATTTGTGCCAGTCTGTCAGATAAAATTATTAATATTTCAGAAAATAGTTCAAGTTTGCATAACCAATGATTGATCTTATCCAGCTGTGACCCGCCCATAAGTAAATATTCAGCCTATTTTTGATTACCTGACCAGCGCATTAATAGCAGCACCCGCTGATATGACAGAGAAATTCAGAACTAGTCGTGAAGACAGGAAATTTTAGATGCGATGGTGTCGTGAGGCATCGCAGGCATGGTATCAGTTGTTGTGAACTATGCCACATTACACGAGAAGAAACGATTGAATCTTATGTCAAGACGCCCAGTTGTCGTTTACGAACCCCTACGACACCCGACGTCAAGGAAATAATGCCAAAACCGTAAGAAATTCATGTGATCTGTCTGAGCTTTAGTAGAAGGCAACCCAGGCTCATTGTGGAAACGTAGTACCGCGGATGTTTCTGGAGACCGCGGAATACGTCCCGGCCGGTACGAACGGCTGCAGTTTTTGTTTTTGTGAATCCGCGAGAGGCCGCTGTTGTGCGCTTTTTCGCACCTCAAACGCCTCTCACGAGTGCAGTTCGCGCTCGCGCTGTTCTCGCATGAACCCATTAGAGGCCGCTGTCCGACTGACCGGATGATTGACTGCGCGACCGGCCAATCGGCTAACCCGCCCTCCTCCTTCCCTGAACCCAACCAATTTTACCGATTGACCCGCCCGCCCGCTCACTTCCCTAAACCCAAGCAACAGTTTACAAAAGCCGTCCAAAAGAAGAAAAGCCCTGATTTTTTTTTTCTACCGCGTTTTCGGATTTCACTGAGTTCTCACCCTGTTACGAAACTTGTTCACTTAATTTTTGGGATTCTGTTTTTGTCTTACCTGATTGCTGGAACCGCTCTTCCCCAAACTCGAAACCGATCGTCGTGGTCAACCCCTCTCTGCATCTCGAGCCTGCTGACGTACACGGTGAGCTGAGTGGACAAACGGGTTGCAGCGGGGAAGCCCTCCACAAGGAGGTAAGCGGTCGGCCGGCCGGCCGCCAAGCGTGAAAGGGAACAGCCTCACACCGCCCCGCAGTGTTCACTTGAAAAAAGTAAATGCAGCCGTACGTACCTCCCGGGACGTATTCCGCTGTCTCTAGAAACGTCCGCGGGACTACGTTTTCAGAATGAGCTTGGGTTGGTAGAAGGGCATGTGTGGGTCAGTCCATATCAAGCCAATGTATTATACATGATGACAAGTCGACTGACTTCTCTCACAGATGTGCAGCAAAAAGAGCATTAATATGCACAGAAATGTATACAGTTGGTGAACCTACAAGAAATAACATTGTAAAAAATGTACATGGCGCCATGGTGGATTTGTGAAAACAAAAACTGCAAGAAAACCTAGTGCAGGGTACATATTTGTCAATTCTCAAAAATGTTGTGCAGGGTACATATTTCCAATGAGCTTGTGTCAAATAAACTCTTACAGTATACTGTTGTTGTTTTTTGGTTTCCTCCATCAGATCTGCGTTCAACAGCAGCGTGCGGGTGTCGTATGATCTGCTGTCTCAGTGCGGTGCGGGTGTTGGTGGCGTGGGCGGGCGGCTCTACACGGAGACGCTGCAGAGTCTGTGCAGTGAAGGCGGTCTGTCGGCCTCCACTTCCGCTCCGCTGCTGCGCCGCTTACAGTGCCGTGAACACGAGACCGTGCCCTTCGAGCTGTACCGGCAGGCCGTGCTCACCTGCTCCGTGTTCGCAGACTACATCCGCAAGTCCCAGTGTCTGTACGCAGCGGTGGCGAGCGCTCCAGACCGGCCGGCCCAGAGGACACTGTGCTGCGCGGTGCTGGAGACCTTGAAGGAGGCGCTGGAGACCGCAGACGGGCCCGACACCGCACGATACCTGGAGGTGAGTTCATACCAAGCACCGTATCGAAGTCGCTTTAAGGCAAGTAACTCTGGTAACTCTGTATATTGGCAAGTAACTCTGCAGCCTTCGACACACCTCTCAGGCATTCTGTTTGAATGGGGAAACTTCAAATTCTCCAACACGTACATTTACATTTCATGTTAGGAATCACTAATAAAAATAAACAGCAACCATCTCTTTAGTTTCCTTTCTAAACATCACACAACATCTGCAGAAACTTACATTTGGTCCAAGCCCCTTCCTCAGAGAATCATCAGTCTTTAGCGATCACTGATTGGCTCTTGTACTAGAAGGCGGGATTTCAGTTGCTGCTTGTTAAAGGCTGATTTATACTTCTGCGTCAAACGCACGTGTATGCTACGGCGTTGATGCATAGCCCTACGGCGTCGCTGACGTGCACCTCTCAAAAAATGTAACCACACGTCGCAACGACGTGTAGCTCAAGCTCTGTGATTGGTCGGCTTGGTAGCACTGACAAGTCTGGGCGGGACTGAGAGCCGGGCGAATGGTGCGAGCCTGATGGAGCGATTGTTTACAAGTGTGGAGTCCCGTGAAGGAGCTCCGGATGGACAGTTTTGTTGTGTGTTTACCTCATAGTTAAAGTTGTTGCACGTCCGCCGGTTCCTGCCTCAAAATGAGCGAGTTTGAGCCACTTGTACATCCAGGAAGTGTTCAGGAAAAGCAAAACAACAGCGAAGAAACTCGACACAGATACACATTAACACCTCACTGCCAACTAGCGTGTTGAAAGAGTTAATGCAGATCAACAGTGACAGCGCGCAGAAGTATAAATGCACAGCTACGCGCATTGCATGCGCCATGGGTCACGCCGGTCACTTGATGCAGAAGTATAAACCAGGCTTAAGTGGTGACCTATGGAATACTGTTTCTTGTAAGCCGCTACTCATTTGAATTGAGAAAATATTCATTTATAACCACTTTTCAGTCAAATCACACAATAAATGTTGCGTTATGTAATGTAATGTGTGTATTTATATCGCGCATTTATTGTGTATGGCCACAATCATGTGGAGAGTTCTCCACACCACCACCAGTGTGCAGCATCTACTTGGAGGATGCTCCAGCAGCCACGACAACGGCACAAGTGCTTCACCACACACCAGCTATAGGTGGAGTGGAGAGACAGTGATAGAGCCAATTTGGTGGATGGGGATGATTGGGAGGCCATGATGGGTAATGGCTGATGAAGGGAGTTTGGCCAGGACACCGGGGTTACACCCCTACTCTTTATGAGAAGTGCCATGAGATCAGAGCCGGCCCAAGGCATAAGCGAGCTAAGCGGCTGCTTAAGGCCCCATGGCCACCAGGGGGCCCCCAAGAGTGCATGAAATTACTAACTTTCGTTTTTGATTTAGTTTGTTGGAGAGTTTGGTTATAGATTATGGGTGGGGCAAATATATCAATATGCTCTGGCGCCAAGAATCGATATTTATCTAAATGTACAAAAGGTCTGAATTAATTAATCTACTCTGACTGCAGCCATTTACCGCTGTGACTGCAGTACACCCAGCTGCCACCAGGTGGCTCTTCCCGTAATGGTGGATCAACAATACAACAGAGACGCACCAGCCTTTTTAACCACTGACAGATGAGAGATTGCAATTGTAAAACTTCATACAGGAATATGGGCTCATACTATTTAATTCCGCCAAAATATATAAAGATATCAATAGGACAAGAACACATAATTTGAAGGGTTTTTCATTTATTTAACCCTTGCAGACCTTTGCAAAGTCTTGTAGATGGTATTTTCGCTGAAAATATTAGATGAATTAAAAAGAAAAACTTAAAATAATGCTCTTTTTAAATTGATGAGTAAATAACTAATGTTCTCCACTGCTGGAGGCATTATAAGTGCTCAGAGGAGTCTGCTCACCTTTCTGAGCAATATATTAATGTAGTGGCAATGCAAAATTTTGCATGATTAAAAATAAACCAGGGCTATGCATAAAATACATCAAATAGGTTGACCAAGTTGTAATAAATGTCTTTAGTTTACAGAAAACTAGAAAGCAATAAATTGCTATTTTAACTGTTTTCTAACATGCACAGTTAAAGTCAGAATTGTTAGCCCCCCTGAATTATTCGCCCCGTTTATTTTTTCTCTAATTTCTGTTTAACAGAGAGCAGATTTTTTTTCAACACATTTGTAAACATAATCGTTTTAATAACTCATCTCTAATAACTGATTTATTTCCTCTTTGTCATGATGACAGTAAATAATATTTGACTAGATATTCTTCAAGACACTTCTATACAGCTTAAAGTGTCATTTAAAGGCTTAACTAGGTTAATTGTGATGCTGCTGCTCTGACTAATTTAGAGATGAGCCCTCTATCTCTGCATTTTCAGCTTGTTGAACAGTTGTGTGCTTTTTTTACACAGCTGCAATACTATAAACGTGCTTTTAATAAAAGAAATGCATCTTATAAATATAATGCATCTTATATTTTTTGATGCATTTTTTACTCTTCATTTGCAAAAAATTTTTATATATTATGGTTGGTTTTCTTGTGATCAAATTTCACAGCCATCTACTATGAATCATTGACAGTTGGTAAATACTGCAAAAATTATTTCCTTTTTATTGTTTTTGTCTTCTTTCTAGTCCAAATATGTAAAAAATCTTAAAGAATAAACATTTTCTAGAAAGATTTTCTGTGGAAAATGCTTCTTGATTTAATTTGATTTTGATTTAAAGTAATTTTTTTTAGATATTTGAACAAGAAAATACAAAAATGTAAGAAAAAAAGCATATTTCATAATGTAAGCAACACAGCTACAGCAAATAAAATTGATAACATGTGTTTTTAATTTAAAGTGTGCAAATAATCAAGGATTAATTTATCATATTGTCTGCACCAAGGGGGCCCCAAATAAAATTCTGCTTAGGGCCCCCTAAAGGCTTGGGCCGGCCCTGCATGAGATTATTAATGAGCACAGAGAGTCAGGACCTCGGTTTAACGTTTCATCTGAAAGACGGCACTCGCTGACAGTATAGTGTCTCCTTCACTATACTGGGGCATTAGGACCCACATAGACCACAGGTTGAGCGCCCCCTGCTGGCCTTACTAACACCACTTCAGCAACCCAGTTTTCCTATGTTTCCCCCTAATTTCTGTTTAACAGAGATTTTTTTCAACACATCTCTAATCATAATAGTTTTAATAACTCATCTCTAATAACTGATTTATTTAATCTTTGTCATGATGACAGTAAATAATATTAGACTAGATATTCTTCAAGACACTTCTATACAGCTTAAAGTGACATGTAAAGGCTTCACTAGGGAAATGAGGGTAAACTTAGGGTAATTAAGTCATTGTATAACAGTGGTTTGTTCTGGAGACAATCCAACACTAATATTGCTGAAGGGGGCTAATAATATTGACCTTAAAATGGCTTTAAAACAATTAAAAACTGCTTTTATTCTAGCCGAAATAAAACAAATAAGACTTTCTCCAGAAGAACAAATATTAGAGGAAACACTGTGAACATTTCCTGAATCTCTTCAACATCATCTGGGAAATATCTGAAGAAAAAAATTCACAGGAGGTCGAATAATTGTGACTTCAACTGTATATAAGGATAAGACGAACGCTAATGATCTGTTTATTTTAGATTCTGCTTTTATTTAAGATGAAAAATACAGTACTTTGATGTAATCATGTTAAAATAACACTAAAACTAATGTTTTTCCTCCAGGCTAGTGCTAAGATCTCTCCGGCTAAAGTAGCACAGGCGATGGCAGAGGCTCATTCGCAGACGCGAGACGGAGAAACAATGGATGCGCAGGAGTTTGAGGATGCGGCCGCGGCGCTCTTCATCGCACGGGTTCGAACCGTCACATGACCTGCTGTCTGAGACCTGGAGATCCTCAGATTGAGAGTTTGCCATGCTTACTATTAATTTAACTCGTAACATTACAGTGCACAGATCAAAGATGAACAAAAGAGTGTTTAAAGCTTCAAGTCAATCAATAAAAAGAGTACACATGAAATCAAAACTAACCTTATTGATTTAGCTCACATTGCTAGTTGTGTGCCGAACAGTCATTAAGACAACACAGTTTGCCCTTGTAATGTAAAATTGAAATCTGAAAATGCACTTCTTTTTGGTGTTCAGTTAAATTCTCAGATTTGGTCTGTCTGAGGTAGTGGGCGGGGCTAACATATAGCCACGCCCCTCCAGATGTCAGTTTTGACGTCAAACAGAAATGGTGAGTAGGTAGAGTCTGTTAGGCTGTAATGTTTTCCCTCATCTTTCTGAATGAAATGCCTACTTCCCTACATCCAATCAGCTCGCAGTGGAAACACAAGTCACGCCCACTGTTTTCTATTTAATATTCGGTTTCTCTAGAAACTGCATCACAATAGAAAAATAAAAAACAGATGGTCACAGCTTCTAGTTTATGCGGACTTTCGGCCTGTTTACACCAATCAATAAAGTAGTTAATACCGTTATATGCTGCGTCCCGATTTGCATACTGTCCGTTAGTGATGTTCGACACCAATCGATGTTCCAATACGATTCTGAGTCGAATTCAGGCTGGTATCAGCGATACCGATCCGATACTTTGTCCAAATACATCTTTAACTGAGTTTAGACTGCAGGATTTTTAAAGTCGCCAAGTCACAGATGTTTTCACACTGTATGACTCTCTGGGCTAGCGTTTCTCGCTGCTGTGAAACAGGGGATTTCACACCACATGACTTTACAATAGGAAGAATAGAGTGGAGGAACTATGACGTCACTTTGTAGGCTAATCGGCTGCTAGCATAAAACTGGTTCCCTTGTGAAAATCCCTATAGGATTTTCCCATAGGGTTTTCGAAGATTGCGAATAATAAGCTCTGTGTTCAAACACTGTTCATTACACTTACACATTTGGTTCAGCCGGATAATTGTCACACGAAAATACAACTTTGAGCACTTTTTGATCTTAAATGCAAACGCAAGACTTGAAAAGCTAACGTTAGGCTATAAACGGACTACAGCGCCCTCGGGACGCTCGTCAGTGATGTCAGCCCCACCCTGCTACAGACGACTTATCAAGCTTATTTTTTTAGAAATATTGTCTATGACAAAGAGTTAATCTCTCTGTTTATTGTATTATAATCCACACTATATATTATAAACTAATAAATACGCAAACACACATAGACCTATGAGCCTTTTGGATCGTTTTTACGTGGGAAATACATCTGTTTTGCTTTGTGGTTGTTCTAAAAGTTTTTAAAATGTGTATAAATGTGCCTATATAGTATTATTATGAGACATATTTAAATAAGTGTATCGCTCGCGTGCACACAGCCCGCTTACCTTAAACAGACAACAGAAATTAGGCGTGAGGAGAAACAAGTCAATCAAATGCCTGCAAGTATCATCATGATGGACACAGAGCAACATTCAATATTCCTATTGTGTCACGAAGTACAGCGAAAAGCAGCTCATACAGTCACATCTGCTGAACGTTTCATGGAGGAGTGTAAATACTGCAGTTAAATGTGTTCAGATGAAGAAAAAAAGACGAGAAATCACTTGATCACGTTAAAATGACAGTTAATAATCATGTATTTTTTACACATTTATTCACACGTTTGCATTACCGAGAGCAGGAAAGAAACAGGCTGCACTGGTGAGCAGTATCTTCATAATATCATTTAATTAAAATAAATGATCAACAAATTAGTCTGTCTCGACAGCCTTTACATGTGAAGGAATTATCTACACACAATCTGAATTCTCAATTAGAATAATACAAAAAACTATAAAATACTCTTCATGAAAATACTTAAATCACAGACAAATCCAAACGCACAACACAAGCGAGCTGCGCTCCAGACCAGATCAGCTCGATGACGTTTAATGTCCCCGACGCCGCCTGTAGTCCCATTTAGCAACTTGATAGCAACCGTCTTTTTAAAGAAGCATAATCGATTTAAAAGTTGAAGGGTGTGCTTTAACTGATGTGTTTTATGTCGTAGAACAAAACTTGAAAGTATCTTGAGTCGGTGTTAGCCACGGACCTTATTTAAGCGATTTTACTCAAACCCCATTCAAAAAACCCACTGACTTTGGGACGAGGGAACCGGAAGTGCTAAAATGCTAACTCGCTTCCGGGTTTTTGTATACAAATTGACGTCATAGTTCCTCCACTCTATTGCCGACTACTTTCCCAAAGTACGGCCTCGTTTACACTAATACATTTTTGTTTTAAAACGCATAAGTTACGCCATCTGTCCACACTACATCAGAGTTTTCGAGCACAGTAAACGGAGCGTTTTGAAAACGCTGGAGAGGCCGTTTTCATCCTAAAACGCTGCTGCTCCGTCTCAGTGTGGATGGGGGAAACGGAGACATCTGAAAAAGGAGGCGTGGCTCCTGACATTCGCCTCTCTGATTGGGGCTTTTCCTCAATATTAAGCAGGTTACACACAGTTCAGTCCTGCATCCTCTACTTGTAAGATCAGACTTCACAAGTTTTGTATGGAAAACAAACTCCCGAGGACACCTCGGGTAAATCTTCAAAGGGGGCAGTGTACTTTATAGACTTATTCACATCGTCCTGGATATGCATGTTGTTTCACTATCTTAACAATCATTCATTTTCTTGTCAGCTTAGTCCCTTTATTAATCCGGGTCGCCACAGCGGAATGAACCGCCAACTTATCCAGCACGTTTTTACGTAGCGGATGCCCTTCCAGCCGCAACTCATCTCTGGGAAACATCCACACACACATTCACACACACACACTCATACACTACGGTCAATTTAGCCTACCCAATTCACCTGTACCGCATGTGTTTGGACTGTGGGGGAAACCGGAGCACCCGGAGGAAACCCACGCGAAGGCAGGGAGAACATGCAAACTCCACACAGAAACGCCAACTGAGCCGAGGTTCGAACCAGCGACCTTCTTGCTGTGAGGTGACAGCACTACATACTGCGCCACTGTTGCCTTATCTTAACAATAATAACAATAAAATGTAAACATGATGTAAGGAACTGCTATTTTCATTTTGATATTAATAACTTTGATCTTAATAACTAATAACAGACAGCAGAAATGTTGAGGCGTCATGCTGCATATATGATTGTTATCTTCACTTTATGCATATTTATAACAAAACAGAGCCTATAACACCTGCCTCCTCTTCATTTTCATTGAAAATACGAAACACACCCTCTCTATTGCTGAATATCAGTTTTAATAATCAATAATGGCCATTATAAATGTATAACGTACAATAAGTTTATACAGTATAGGAAATAAAGGCAAGTGATCAGTCAATATGCAGAATGTACGTGGTTACATTAATTATTAACTTACCTCTGCGCTCAGCCAAAACACATTACCTGAGAACAAGTAATCGATTCCAATGACCAAAGTCAAGGAATATGTATTAAGATAGAGACAACAAGATAAAGTAAATATCAAGTTTAACAAATATAGTGAGCTTGGATCCAGAGGGAGATCCTCGATGAACAGTCCGATGAGCACAGCATCTCATCTGGCTAGATATGCTGCAGCGCATGCCAGTGTGTGTGTGTGTGTGTGGTCACGTGATGTGCACTTTCAGTGGTGTAGTGTAGACGGAGAGTTGTTCAGAAACGCTGTGTGAAACGCCAGTGTGGACGCGGATCATTTTCATTCTAAAACGCCGTATTAAAACTAAATTGTTCTAGTGTAAACGGGGTCTACGTCTCACAACCAAACACACACAAGAAGTGACATGAACACAATAGCCCCTTTCACACATACAGACCTTTCCGGAAAATAGCCGGCAATTTTCCGGAAAGGTCTGTATGTGTGAACAGGTCCTTTTTGAAAATACCGGTAAATTCGTTCTGGCTATTTTCCGGAAAGAGAAGTTGTAACATTACCGGCAATTTGCCGGAATGCTGCGCTGTGTGAATGCAGAAGGCAGATTGCCGTAATAAGCGCGTGCACGTCTAGAACGTGCTGACGTGAGACGTCTGCTTTAGCCAATCACAACAGTCAGACGCATTTACGTCCGCGCGGTTTGTGAGGATAAAAGCCTTTGAATATTTTTCCAGACACATTTAGCTGCTGGATGTTAGTCAGATCACGTTTATATGATCATCTTAATGCCAACTGTGTAAATAATCATCGATGAGATGCTTATGATAAGCCGTTGTTTGTTTACCTTCAAGCTTTACGTGTGCCTTTGAAACAGCCTGTGAGCGCCTGCACACGCACATATTATGAACATCTCGACATGCGAAAGTGATCCTGCGAAAGTTGTTCACAATATTGATCATCCAGAGAGTTTGTAATTTAGTCAAATGTTTACAAACACAAGCACAGCCGTTTAAAGCTCATTTGTGGTGAATGATGTCAGAATTTACCGGTATTTTGGAGTGGATGTGTGAATGCTCTTTTCCGGAAAATAGCGACAGTTACTAGAGGCCATGGTCTTTAGCCTCCTTGTTAGAGCAACTGACTCCCACGCGGAAGGTTGCCGGTTCGAAATCAGCTTGGAGCGGGTTGGGTGGTGAATTGAATTGAATTTTATTTGACAGATTTTAGACGAATTATTCCATACACTTTGTTAAAAAAACTGTCGAGGATAAAAACACTAAAGCCCTGGGCTTATTTCCATTTTGGTCCTCTGTTAAATAAAAACAATCTATGGCTTCAAAATACGAATGAAGAATAAAACAAACAGTCGCCACAGCGGTACGAACAGCCAACTTATCCAGCACACGTTTTACACAGCTAATGGCCTTCCAGCCGCAACCCTATTCACACTCAAGTAACATTAAAACATCCTCGTCCACCATGCAAACTAAATATCCTCATCAAACAACCATCTTTTGATAGCTTTTTTGAACAACCTTAAATCTTTTATTTCCTTGATTGATTTTGGTAGTTTGTTCCACATGATTGCACTTTTATATAAAAGCATATTTTTCCCCACTAAACTTCTAAATTTAAATAAACAAATATTAAAATCCCAACTCCTAGTACTGTATGAATGCTGTTGCCTCACCATTTGAAAATAGTTCATCAAATAACTAGGTACCATTATTGAACATTTTTCGTACCATTCCCAGTTTTAAAAAACACACTCTATTACTGACATTTAACATACCTAATTTATTAAAAGACTCTGTGCAAATGTGCTCTAGGTGTAGAACCGGTGGGGTTACACGAGCTAAGAAAACACCAGAAAACCCAAAAAGATCATGAATACAATCATATGAAATTGGTTCAGAAAAAAGATGCCACATGACTAGGGCCAGACGGAATCTATTCTTTGCTATTTCTGTTGAGAATTTTGTAAAAAAAAAAAAAAAATCTGCGGATTTATGCAGAATTATTTAGGGAGTACCATAACTAAAACCATAATATATGAAATAAGTCATACCTTTTTAACTTGTATTTAATGTTTGCAATGCAAATCTAATCAGATCCACTTTATTTGGTGAACAAAGCAAGTGTCTCGTGTAATATATCTACTAAAATATTACTGCACAAACTGCATTGTAAGTAAATCATATGAACATTCTCATGTCAATAATATTACTGTAATAAGTAAATAAACAGAATCAAAGGTCGGCTAAAAATCTGCGGATTTCTATGCACGCAGATTCCGTGTGGGCCTGCACATGACTGCAGATATTAAGCCTCGTGTTCTGCATGTATAATCAGCATGAAGTTCATTATGCCTGAAGCGAGAGTGTTTGCTGGATGCGCTGCAGGGAATGAGCTTTACTTCTCTGTGGTTTTGATGCTCGAGTGTTTTCAGTTCCGGTTTTCAGTGTTGTTCTGAAAGTGTGTCGATTCCTCTTTTAGTCGTCATGTCAGGAAAAAACAAACAGATTCAGCCACATCTCATGCGTTACTGAGCGCTGAAACATTTCACTTCATCAAAACTAAACATACTGATGCTGTTAACTCACATTGCTAGTTTTGTGCTGAACAGTTCATCTGCATGTCATTAAGAACAAACTAATAGCAAAGAGCTTAGAATCACCAAGAGGCGACACTCTAGTGAGATTTGGGAAACAGCCACTAGAGGGCGTGGCGGCAATTTTGGAATGAAAACTCCAATAGAGCAGCAGCATATTATAAGTGTGTGAAATAAACTATTAAAAGTGCTGATGATTGTGATGGTAAGAGTTGTATTGTCGTCTTTCAGGTTGTATCTTAGCTTTAATGTGCTTTTTAAATAAATAAATAAAAAACAAAGCAGCTGCTCACCATCGCAACAGCAATAAGATCCAATGAACAGCTTATTAAACTCATAAATTAATAATTCAGCAGGGTGTGTGTTACAGGCAGTGCATTACACACACAAAGAATGCCTGGAGCTGTTGAAGGTGAAATTAAAATAAAACATTTTATCTGTTAGTTTCAGTCTGTTACCAGTGTTCACACGCAGAAGCCAGTAGACCTGACATAAACATCCAAAGTTTGCAGTTTCCCTTCGGCCTACATGGATCAGTGATTTTTTTTCACGTCACCTCATACTTCAGTTTCTCATTAAATCTTCTGAATAATCAATCGCTCTCAAGTGTCTGACATGCCCCACCCCCTTCTTCTCATTGGCTGGCTACATTTTTGTGAATTGAAAAATACGTTAATTCGGGTATATTTTATTGTAAGTTTCAGATAGCAAATCCACTAGAGGGCGCTGTCCGCAGTTTTGCAAATCTTAAATACGTTACTTAGGGTATTTTTTGGATGTTTCTGATGGCAAATCCACCAGAGGGCGCTGTCCGCATCAGTCTGAATCTAAAATACTTGCGTTAGGGTATGATTTGTTTTAAGTTTCAGATGGCAAATCCACTAGAGGGCGCTGTCTGCATTTTTGCGAATCTGAAATGAGTTACTTAGTGTACATTTTATAGCAAATTTCAGATGTATTTTGCACTATACTAAAATAAATTCAAAATTAACACAATAATAAATATAAAGCTTATTATACTAAGTGAGCTACGATCATAGAGAGATAATTGAGGCAAACCTATGCGTTTACATATTATAGACTGTGTTCATTTGTTATTGTCTTTATTTGGTGTTGTGCAAAAGAGCTGCATGAAAATAATCCTTCATTCATCAATATTATGGCCCTGTAAATATCATTAATGTGAAAAGGAACAGAAGTTGTTGTGGTCATACTGCCATCTAGTGTTTATTTCATCTACAGACTGCAGTAAAACGTATGTTTAAGTATTTCTTGGAGAAGAAATTCATTTAATTCTTATAACATTTTTTCTACTTAATTTTCAATTTTGAGAGGGTTTTGTCGTAAGAATTAATATTAATTTTGTAATTAATATCAAATTTCCCCCTATTGAAAACAAAACACTTTTTGTAATTTTTATTTTTAATTATTATTATTATTTTTGGTAATTTTCCTTCGTAATTATTTTTTACTTATTGCAGTGTTTGCAGGTAAAATAGAGACTCTGGGAGCATTTTTTATTTCTGTTTTTAACTATCTGCAGATCCTTATATCCTTATTTGTGAATCACACTTGTGGTCTTCGGGGTCAAAAAGGGACGAATGCCTGTAAAGTACCCTCAGATGTTTCTCAGTAAAATCAATCAAATTTATTTTTGTTTTATAATATTTTTTTCTATGTCATTTTTATTTTAAGAGAGTTTTGGATTCAGAAATAAATATTTATTTTGTAATTAACATCCATTTTTTCCCCTATTGAAAACAATTGGAATTTTTCAAATTTTTTAATTACTCTAGTGTTCCCAGTTAAAATAGGGCCATTTAAAAAAAACAGATTAACATCATCTGGTTGTAAAAATAAGAACATGTAATGACAGGCTGTAACCACCAGGTTCTAGTATTACTATCTCTACAAACGTGCTTGTGAAGTCCTTTAGTTGTTACATTATTAAAAAATGCATCTAAACACTCCAGAAGACCTCTTTTAGACAAGTTTTTAGATTTTTTTATTGTTTATTTTAAAGTGTTAATCTTTGTATTATGATGACATTAAAACTGCCAGCAACATATTAAGACTTTTTCACTCAGCAGCCAATCAGAATCAAGCACTCAACAGACCCAAACTCTTAAATCAAAGCAAATAAAACTCATAGAGACCGTCAGCAGTCTTTTAAAAGAGATTTATTAGCAAAAATAAGATTGGAAACGAGCAACATACATCAATTATAAAATCTAAAATATTTGGAATAATTTCTAGTGCATGACGGTAAGCTTAAAGGGACAGTCCACACACACACACACAAATGTAAATTCTGTCATCATTTACTTGTTTAAACACAAAGCTGAAGAATACAGTGTCATTTTTAGCCTTCTTCTGAATATCTTAGTTTGTGTTCAATGGAAGTTGACAAGCACTTAAATAATAATGCGGTTATGTTCATTTTCAGGTGTACTGTCTCTTTAAAAACTATAAAGAATCTCACATTTATAAGATGCAGACACTTTCAGGCATAATCAATCGGTCTCCATGCTTACAGGAAAGCTGCTCGAGTTATTGTCATCTCATTCTGTCTGATGTTCTGCCGTTCAATGCCCTTTTGTTTGAGCATCGACTGTAACAACTAGTCTGAGTAACAGTTGAACGGAAGTCCTCTTATGACGAAACACTTGACTGAATTATTTAAAGCTGATATTTTCACAAGGTGAGGTCAGAATGTATGAAATGCACAGATGTCATGTCACCACAAAATCAAAAGTCAAAAATAATGGTGTTTTAATTCTGCATTCAAATATCTAATGCTTTTGCTTATGTTAATAATAATAATAATAATTAATAATACCAATATCAATTAAACATACAAACACACACACACACTTTCTCTCTGTTCCAGTCAAAAGCTTGTGATCACTATATTTTTTTTATGTTTTAATAAAAAAAAGGCAATTCTGCACACCAAAGCATTTATTTGATCAAAAATAGTTTAAATATATTTAAAACTGTGAACTATTATTGCAGTTTATTTATCCATCCACTCATTTTCCTTTGGCTTAGTCCCTTCATTTATCAGGGATTGCCACAGCGGAATGAACCGCCAACTTATCCAGCATATGTTTTACACAGCGGATGCCCTTCCAGCTGCAACCCAGTACTGGAAAACACCCACACACAAACACACACTACGGCCAATTTAGTTCATCAGTTCCCCTATAGCGCACGTGTTTGGACTGTGCACCCAGAGGAAACCCATGCCAACACTGGGGGAACATGCAAACTTCACACAGAAACACCAACTGACCCAGCCGGGACTCAAACCAGCGACGTTCTTGCTGTGAGGCCACAGTGCTAACCACTGAGCCACTGTGTTGCCTATTACTGTTTAACTTTTATTATGATAAATATATTAAAATTGAGTAGCTGTGATGTAATGCAGCTTTTTCAGTATCACATATTTCAGAAATCTGTATATTTTTAGTATTAATATATACATATATATACAACACTGATGATAATTATTATTTAAAAAATTCTGATTATTAAATCATATTATACTGCTCTCTGAAGGATCATGTGACACTAAAGACTGAAATATTTAAGCTGGAAAATCACAAAAATAAAACAAATATTTAAAATTGTAATAACATTTTTAAAAATACTATGTTAAATTAAATAAAGTTGAATCCTTATTTTTTTTATTTTGATTGTTGTTTTATAATATTTCTTTATTTAATTTTTAATTTTGAGAGGGTTTTGTTGTAAAATTTGATATTTATGTCATAATTAACCTCCATTTTTTGCTTATTAAAAACAATAGATTACACAAAAATATGAAGCAGCTCAACAGATTTCAACACTGATGATGATAATTATAAATGTTTTTTACTGATTATTAAATCATCAGATTATACTGATTTCTGAAGGATCCTGTGACATGAAAGACTGGAATATTAATGCTGGAAAATTAGCTTTAAATCACAGAAATAAACAAAAATGAATCTATATTTAATTTAAAAAGTTAATTAAAATTTTAATAACTTCTTTTAAATTACAGCATTTTTAATCAAATAAAGTTGAATCATTCATTTATTGTTGTTTAATATTATTACATTACTGTTTAATATTTTTTCTATTTAATTTTTTTATTTTAAGAGGGTTTTATTGTACGAAATAATATTTATCCTGCAATTAACATCTATTTCTTCCCGAATAAAAACCATAATTACACAAAAATATGAAGCAGCATAACAGAATTCAACACTGATAATAATTATCATAAATGTTTTTTTCTGATTATTAAATCATCATATTATAATGATTTCTGAAGCGACACGAAAGACTGGAATATTAGTGCTGGAAAATCAGTCACAAAATCACCAAAAAAAAAAAATCTACATTTAATAAAGTTATTTAAAATTGTAATACCATTTTTAAAATTACTGTATTTTTAATCAAACAAAGTTGAATCGTTCATTTATTGTTGTTTAATATTATTACATTACTGTTTAATATTTTTCTATTTAATTTTTAATTTTGAGAGGGTTTTGTTGTACGAATTAATATTTATCCCGCAATTAACATCTATTTCTTCCCTATTAAAAACCATAGATTACACAAAAATATGAAGCAGCTGTGGAAATATAAATTGATATCATCTAATTCCAAATGAACAATAATCTACAAATAACTGAAAAGTTATATTCTTTGGTTTTTAATTATATCATTTCATTAACATGCCAGCTAGGAGGGATATTAACCTTTTGTCTTTCTGATTACAGGCTAAGCCAAAGTAATGCAAATTGTCAGTTTCACAGCATGGGGTGTCTATTGTTTTTCTCTTTTCGATTAAATGGTCAGGCGGTTTCTGTCTCCAGAACGTGGTTAGATTAGACCTGAAAAAGCAGTTTACCCTGCCGACCACAACTCTTAATTTGCATGCTTTGTTTAGCCATGTCCCCTCCTCCTAAGAACACAATATAGCCATGAAATCTTTGTCTTAAATCAGACTTGTGTGAGACTTGTGAAAGAACTTGCAGACTGCGGACCTCTAGTAGGCTCTTGCAGACACATGGACATCTTAAAGACGCTGTATGACTGCAGATTAACCAACACGTCTCAATAAAGGAATTCTGCTTGTTTCGAGTCTCCTGGACTGGGTTCTCTTCTTTACACTCATTTTATTTTTTTTTTTACAACACAGCTCAACAGATTTTAACACTGATAATAATTATAAATGTTTTTTCTGATTATTAAACCATCATATTATAATGATTTCTAAAGAATCATGTGACACTGAAGACTGGATTAATATTGCTGGAAAATTAGCTTTAAAATCACAGAAATAAATAAAAATTATTCTACATTTAATTAAAAAAAAAGTTTCATTGTCAAAGCATTTACTAATTTTACAGTGTTTTTGATCAAATAAATGCAGTCACAGTGAAAAAAAAGCTTATTTTATAAAAATCTTACCGAGCCCAAACTTATAATAGCGTATACCTTTATACAAACACTATTATTTATGCCATCAAATATTTAATAGTCCAGATACAGACTTATTTTGCAGAATATAAATATTTTTTCTCCTTTGATTTTGACATGAAATAAAAACACTACACAGCTTCAGAGACATTAAATAAACGCAAATACACAAACTGTTTTACTGTAAAACCTCTAGTAAGGCCACAGTGCATAAAATAAATCAAATCTGCATGCTACAAACCCTGTTGAGTGCACTTAAGGTGAAGCGTCCTAATGTGTGCATGCATAAAACCTTTATAACATCAGTTATTAAAGGCAATAAAGGTGCTGAAATGAGTTGTAAAACCCGACGTTTGTTTACATTAACAGTGATCTTAATATCAGGAATAACGCTTAATTGGCTCAAACTCAGCGGACATTCATTACAGTAATAACAGAACACATTCACCACGTTAAAGACTGCAGAGTGAACAGTGGTGGATATGAATAGAAGACTCTCTGAAAGGAAAAACAGCTATATAAATGCTGATGTTCGTGTGGTTTATGTGGGAGGAGGAGGAGGAGGGAGAGGAGGAAGAGCGCTGTTGACCTGAAAGCGGGTTTCGTCTGATATCCCATACTGCTCCAGTGGATCCTGCAGGAGATCAGCAGTAATTACATTACAATAAGTCCTTCTATTCTGGCCCTTATGAATGCATCTCTGGTATCTCTAGAGCAGGGCTCAACAATCCCGTTCCTGGAGGTTCGGTGCACTGCAGGGTTTAGCTCCAACTTGCCTCAACACACCTGCCTGGGTGTTTCAAGTATACCTAGTAAAGGCTGATTTATACTTCTGCGTCAAATGCAGGCGTATGCTAGGCGCTGTAAAATGTAACTACACTTCGCAACAACGCGTAGCGCAAGCTTTTTGATTGGTCGGCTTGGTAGCGCTGACGAGTCTGGGTGGGACCGATAGCCGCGCAAATGGCGCTAGCCCAAAGGAGCGATTGTTTACCATAGATATATACACTAGATATCGCATAGGGACCCTGAGCATGCGTCAATAGCGCCACCATATTGGTACAGGGCTCCCAGGACAAATGTCATTCAACCGCACTAGACAAGACAGTGTTATTATGCGAAGATGCGGGACTTTAGCGCTGTCTACGGGTGTAGTAACGAGCAAACAAAGAAAACAAAGCACAAAGGCAGAACATTTCATAGGTAATATTAAGTTTTTTCTGCTTTTGTATGTTCTGAACTGTTGTGCTAATCTGGTAACGTTATTGATGATAACAGTCACTTACTGCATTCACCATACGGCAAAGCAGCTCCAACTCGCACTAAACACTCGGCTTATGCTAGTTTTGTTGAATAAAATCAGCAAATAATGCCAAAGAAATATGACAACGAGATGCTGCGCTGCCAGAAACTTGTATTATAGTCGGCTAACGTTAGTGAAAGAGTCGTTCGGGGGATTCATTCACAAACGAATCGCTCCCTCCGTCAGTATGAGCAGTGAAAGCAGGAGAGGAGCTGTGTTAACAGGGAGGGTGAATAGTACATTTCTGTACACACAAACACAAGCTTTTTGTCAGGAATGGCCGTGCGGTCACTGATCCATCAATGTAGAAAAGTGATGTACAATTATAATTTTCGTAATTAGAAAAACAAATTACACACTAACATCCAGGAAAACTCCCGATCATAGATATATGTGTATATGTGTATATCTCTGGCTTTGGATGGCCACAGTCCTCCACTGTACCTTGGTCCTGCATTCATTTCAAAGGAGCGCTACCCTGTAGCAAGATGGCGGCGCTATTGACGCATGCCGTCCAATAGACAACAATAGGCCAGGCGACATCTAGTGTATATATCTATGATTGTTTACAAGTGTGGAGTCCCGTGAAGGAGCTCCGGATGGAAAGTTTTGTTTTGTGTTTACCTCATAGTTAAATTTGTTGCACGTCCGCTGGTTCCTGCCTCAAAATGAGCGAGTTTGAGCCACTTGTACATTCAGGAAGTGTTCAAGAAAAACAAAACAACAGTGAAGAAACTCGACACAGAGGAACATTTACACCTCACTGCCAACTAGCGCTTCGCAAGTGTTAATGCAGATCAACAGTGACAGAAGAATAAATGCACAGCTACATGCGTTGCATGCGCCGAGGGTTACGCCGGTCACTTGACGCAGAAGTATAAACCAGGCTTTAGACCTTGATTAGCATGTTCAGGTGTGTTTGATTAGGGTTGGAGCTAAAATCTGCAGGACACCGGCCCTCCAGAACCAAGTCTGGTGATCCCTGCTCTAGAGCAATAATCTCAAACTCAATTCCTGGAGGGCCGCAGCTCTGCATAGTTTAGTTCCAACCACCTCCAACTCACGCCTACTACTCTTGAACATTGTGATTATTTGGATCAGCTGTGTTTGATCAGGGTTGGAGCACAGCTGTGCAGAGCTGCAGCCCTCCAATAATCCAGTTTGAGGCCTGTGCTCTAGAGCAAGGGCGCCCAAACTCGGTCCTGGAGGGTCTGTATCCTGCATAGTTTGGCTCCAACCTCCTTTAACACACCTGCCAAGAAGTTTCTAGTATACCTGGAAAGAGCTTGATTAACTGGTTCAGGTGTGTTTAACTGTTTGAGCTCAAAATACACCACAGATATGGCCATTTCCACTGAGTTGTAAGATTCTGCACAGCAAAATAATTATGAATTCTCGATAAATCTCACGTGGACTTTTGTGAACATCTGACAGAAATAAAGTCAATCAGGTAAGCAATGAGTGAAGCTGCTGCTACTTCTCTTGTGTTTCTGCTTATTAACAGCAGGTGTTCATCTTCAGTGCTCAATCATCATCTTATTTAACCCATCATTGTCTCATTAACTTTAACTCTGCTGCTGAGTAAATTTAGCTCAATTTAGAGAGGGACCAAATATTCTCTGAACTGAGGAAATTTTACTCTGAGGATCCACACGTGAGTCTAGCAGCGCACTCATAGAGAGAAAATGAAACAGAACCTTTACATTATGAAAGCAACACAGGCGACTCATATCTCCAAACAATTCTTACTTTTTTCCCATAACTTTTGGCAACAGGACTCTCTCTGCCGTCTGAACACTGTTTCAGGTACAGTCTAAGAAAGCTAGCATGCATATTAATGAAGTTGCAGCGCATACATAATGAAGCGCGCTGATTGGTTTGAACCAAGCCACACTCATGAATGAATGCAGCACACTCAGAGACGTAATACGGGACGCCTTGGTACAGACGTCCAGTCTGCACGCTGGAATACACGCTAAGATCTCATGGCCGTGACGCAGCTTCAAAAATTTGTTTCAAACCGGAAGTACGAATTTGCTCGAAATAACGCAAAAACAACCAATTTTCACTTTTTAGTGAGATATCTGTGTCCTAATAGTGTTTTTAACATATGGGACACATATACGACTGTCAACAGCTCAAAACATGTGCTCTGGTGTTTCGTGACCCTTTAATAATAATATGCAAATCACCATCATTTATATTTGAGGTTGCGTGGGTGTTGAGATCCCGATCTTTTAATGATTAATCGTGCAGCTTATACTGAATGCATTGATACAGGTTAAACAAGTAGTGACAAAAAACACCTTTAATAACCTAAGAAACCCACCACATCCCCAATAGCCCAACACAACTTCTTCCCTCATAATTACAGTTTACAGGAAAGCCTAAATGTTTTCATACATGTGATTTGAATGACACGAGAGACTATCTCTCTGTAATCGGTACAAATTTAGGACTAATTTACCAGTAAAAAAAAATGTATTAATCCGCGGGTCAATCGTGCTCTGAACCATGGGTTGTGAGCTGTACGAATCACAGATCAACCGTGATTGGTTACACCACTAGTATTGTTTATAATCAGACTTGCTAGAAACAGTCTGCAGAGACACTTTGATGGACATTTTCTCTTTCATCAGAGGGGGAAAGCCCCGCCCACTAGTGCCCATTTCTCCATCTCATTTGAATTTAAAGCAACAGTCACCAAAACACCACAATTAGGATCAAAGCCTTTGAGCGGTATTAAAAAGGGCCAGATAGGTCTTCTTTAAGGGTAAACAAATATATTAAATTTCTGCAGATATCTGTTGTATTTATTGATATGCGTTTTCTCACCTTGCCCGTCAGCCGATGGATTTCTGTGCGGTAGTAGACCAGGTTTTTGCGCATGAATTCATAACTGCAGACAGAGGTAGATTACTGTTATAGACTGGACATTCAAGAAACACAGAGGATTGTGGGTAATTATTATGAAAATCAAGTTTAAATCTTGAATATTGTCTTACAAATCTGATTTTCTTGCAACTTAAAAATTATATTTAGAAATTCAGAGATCTGTCCTAAAGTTCTGTTTTTAAGACCTTTTGTTTTTGAGTCTCTATCTCATATTTCAGACTTTTGTTTTTGAGTCTCTGTCTCATATTTCAGACTTTTGTTTTTGAGTCTCTATCTCATAATTCAGACTTTTGTTTTTGAGTCTCTATCTCATAATTCTGACTTTTTGTTTTTGAGTATCTCATAATTCAGACTTTTGTTTTTGAGTCTCTATCTCATATTTCAGACTTTTGTTTTTGAGTCTCTATCTCATAATTCTGACTTTTTGTTTTTGAGTCTCTATCTCATAATTCTGACTTTTTGTTTTTGAGTCTCTGTCTCATAATTCTGACTTTTTGTTTTTGAGTCTCTATCTCATAATTCAGACTTTTTGTTTTTGAGTCTCTATCTCATAATTCAGACTTTTTGTTTTTGAGTCTCTATCTCATAATTCTGAATTTTTGTTTTTGAGTCTCTGTCTCATAATTCTGACTTTTTGTTTTTGAGTCTCTGTCTCATAATTCAGACTTTTTGTTTTTGAGTCTCTGTCTCATAATTCAGACTTTTGTTTTTGAGTCTCTATCTCATAATTCAGACTTTTGTTTTTGAGTCTCTATCTCATAATTCTGACTGTTTGTTTTTGAGTCTCTATCTCATAATTCTGACTTTTAGTTTTTGAGTATCTCATAATTCAGACTTTTGTTTTTTGAGTCTCTGTCTCATAATTCTGACTTTTGTTTTTTGAGTCTCTATCTCATAATTCTGACTTTTGTTTTTGAGTCTCTATCTCATAATTCTGACTTTTTGTTTTTGAGTCTCTATCTCATAATTCTGAATTTTTGTTTTTGAGTCTCTGTCTCATAATTCTGACTTTTTGTTTTTGAGTCTCTATCTCATAATTCTGAATTTTTGTTTTTGAGTCTCTATCTCATAATTCTGACTTTTTGTTTTTGAGTATCTCATAATTCAGACTTTTGTTTTTTGAGTCTCTATCTCATAATTCTGACTTTTGTTTTTGAGTCTCTATCTCATAATTCTGACTTTTTGTTTTTGAGTCTCTATCTCATAATTCTGACTTTTTGTTTTTGAGTCTCTATCTCATAATTCAGACTTTTTGTTTTTGAGTCTCTGTCTCATAATTCTGACTTTTTGTTTTTGAGTCTCTATCTCATAATTCTGAATTTTTGTTTTTGAGTCTCTATCTCATTATTCTGACTTTTTGTTTTTGAGTCTCTATCTCATAATTCAGACTTTTTGTTTTTGAGTCTCTGTCTCATAATTCAGACTTTTTGTTTTTGAGTCTCTATCTCATAATTCTGACTTTTTGTTTTTGAGTCTATCTCATATTTCAGACTTTTGTTTTTGAGTCTCTATCTCATAATTCAGACTTTTGTTTTTGAGTCTCTATCTCATAATTCTGACTTTTTGTTTTTGAGTCTCTATCTCATAATTCAGACTTTTGTTTTTGAGTCTCTATCTCATAATTCTGACTTTTTGTTTTTGAGTATCTCATAATTCAGACTTTTGTTTTTGGAGTCTCTATCTCATAATTCTGACTTTTTGTTTTTGAGTCTCTATCTCATAATTCTGACTTTTGTTTTTGAGTATCTCATAATTCAGACTTTTGTTTTTGGAGTCTCTATCTCATAATTCTGAATTTTTGTTTTTGAGTCTCTGTCTCTTAATTCTGACTTTTTGTTTTTGAGTCTCTATCTCATAATTCAGACCTTTTGTTTTTTATTCTCTATCTCATAATTCTGACTGTTTGTTTTTGAGTCTCTATCTCATAATTCTGACTGTTTGTTTTTGAGTCTCTATCTCATAATTCAGACTTTTGTTTTTGAGTCTCTGTCTCATAATTCAGACTTTTGTTTTTGAGTCTCTATCTCATAATTCAGACTTTTGTTTTTGAGTCTCTATCTCATAATTCTGACTTTTTGTTTTTGAGTCTATCTCATAATTCTGACTTTTTGTTTTTTGAGTCTCTATCTCATTATTCTGACTTTTGTTTTTGAGTCTCTGTCTCATAATTCAGACTTTTGTTTTTGAGTCTCTATCTCATAATTCAGACTTTTGTTTTTGAGTCTCTATCTCATAATTCAGACTTTTGTTTTTGAGTCTCTATCTCATAATTCTGACTTTTTGTTTTTGAGTCTATCTCATAATTCAGACTTTTGTTTTTGAGTCTCTATCTCATTATTCTGACTTTTGTTTTTGAGTCTCTGTCTCATAATTCAGACTTTTGTTTTTGAGTCTCTATCTCATAATTCTGACTTTTTGTTTTTGAGTCTATCTCATAATTCTGACTTTTTGTTTTTTGAGTCTATCTCATAATTCTGAATTGTTTTGTAATTCTGAATTTAGGTTTTGCAATTCACATTTTTTCTTGTGTTTTCTGAATTTACATCTCACAGTTCTGATATTGTTGAATTTACATTTAGAAATTCAGACATTTTTATATATAATTTATAGTTCTGTAAAGATTAATAATTTATTTATAAACAGAGCCTTTAAACTTGATTCTCAAAGCACTTTACACCTTAAAAGATTCAAGGACAGCAGAAAAACAACCATCCAGAGGTTATGCAAAAATTATATGAAAATAAAACAAGTGAGAAACATTGTAAACATTGTCTTGAATTCTGCATTATTATTATTTTTTAAAGTTCCGAGTTCAAGTTTTGCAATTTCGATTTTTATTCTTGTATTTTCAGAATTTCTCAAATTTAGATTTTCTTGTAATTTCTGAGATTTGTCTCATAGTTCTGTGTTTTAATCTTGCAATTCTGAGTTTTTGTTTTTGTGGTCACGAGTCTCCGTCTTACAATTCTGACTTTTTTGTAATTCTGAGTTTAAGTTTTGCTACTTTCTTGTATTTTCTGAATTCACATCTCACAATTGTGATGTTCTTAAATTCACATTTAAAAGTTCAGACATTTTGTCTATTGTTCTGTAAATATGAATAATTTATTTTTAAACAGCGCTTTACACTTCACAAATTTACTAAAGATCACAAATACACCTCACAATTAGGGAAGTCCAAAATAAAGTCAGTCTAATTTAGATTTTTTGCGATTTAGATTTCATTCTTGTATTTTCTGAATTTCTCAATTCTGATTTCCTTGCAAATTTAATTATATATTTAGAAATTCAGAGATCTGTCTTAAAGTTCTGTGTTTCAATCTGGCAATTCTGAGTTTTTGTAGTTACGAGTCTCCGTCTCATAATTCTGACTTTTGTTTTGTAATTCTGAATTTAGGTTTAGCAATTCTCATTTTTTCTTGTGTTTTCTGAACTTACATCTCACAATTCTGATATTCTTGCATTCACATTTAGAAATTCAGACATTTTTTCTATAGTTCTGAAAAGATAACTAATTTATTTATAAACAAAGCCTTTAAAACTTCCTTCTCAAAGTGCTTTACACTTAAAAGATACCAGCATAGCAGAAAGCAGTTATCCAGAGGTTATGCAAACATTATATGAAAATAAAACGAGTCAAAATCATTGTAAATATAAAGAAACAGATCACACATACACCCCCCACCATTAGTGAAGTCTAACACTTTGGGCAAAATCACACCTGACAGCCGCACCATCAACCTGCCACAGGAGCTGCTCGTAGAGTTCTACTCAGCTGTCATCCAATCCATCCTCTGCACTTCAATCACCGTCTGGTTCGGCTCAGCTGCCAAAACCGACCTCCGTAGACTACAGAGTATGGTCCAGACTGCTGAACGTATCACTGGCACTACCCTTCCTACACTTCAACAACTGTACTCTTCCAGAGTGAGTAAAAGAGCTCACAAAATCACTCTGGACGCCTCGCACCCAGCACACTACCTGTTCCAACTGTTACCGCCTGGTCTGTGCATCAGAGAACCAAGCACAAAAATAGCCAGACACAGGAAAAGTTTCTTTCCTCAGGCCATCTACTTCATGAACAGTGAAATATCCCCCAACTGTGAAATAAACATGTGCAATACTTTCCCATACGCACTTGTACACAGCACCTTATATCACTATACAATGCAATACTTTCTCCATTCGCATCTGTACACAGCACGATATAACCTGTATATTTATAACAAACCTGTACATACAATTTAACATCCAGATTTCTTGATTAACTGCATCTCTGTTTAATGTTTATCATCTTTTTTTTCTCATATTTATTTTGTGTTGTCACTTTATGTACACTGGAAGCTTCTGTAGCTAAAACAAATTCCTTGTGTGTGTGAAGCACACTTGGCATTAAAACTGATTCTGAATAGGCGACGTCAAGCGCTCATTCTTGATATTCTTGCAGCAGCCTTCGGAGATAACCCCAGACTTCCCTCTCCCCAGACACTTCCTCCAGCTCCTCCGGGGGGATCTTGAGGCATTGCTATGCCAGCCGGGAGACACAGTCCCTCCAGCATGTCCTGGGTCTTCCCCGAGGCCTCCTACCGGTGGGACATGCCTGGAACACTTCCCTAGGTAGGCGTCCAGGAGGCATCCCGAGCCATCTCAGCTGGTTTCTCTTAATGTGAAGGAGCACCTTATCATGGTGGAAGGGTTTGAATGCCTGAGTGATCCTAAGAGCCATGTTGTCGGGGGCTAATGCCCCTGGTTAGGGTCTCCCAAGGCAAAAAGATCCTAGTTGACAGGTCAGACTAAGTGCGCTTTAAAAACCCTTTATGAGTTTCTTACCAGAGGACCATGATGATGCCTGGTATAGCACAGCCGGGGCCCCACCCTGGAGTCAGGTCTGGGGTTGAGGCTAGTTTGCCAGCGCCTGGTTGCCAGGTTTTTTCCCACGGAACCTGGCCAGGATTAGCTCGAAGGAGCGCTGTGGCATCATTCTTCTGCAGGCCCATCACCTGCAGGGGGATCTGTAAGGGCCGGTGCATTGTGGAACGGGTTTTGGTGGAAGGTTAGGACAACGACAACCCGATCGTCAGACACAGAAACTGGCTCTTGGGTCATGGAACGTCAAGTGTTGCTAAACTGAATTTTGGGTCCGTCTGTGCTGCTTCAGCAATTGCTCGCTGCAGAAGTTGGGAATTTCTCAACTTTTCAAGTGACATTGGAAGCATCATCCAATCAAATCACTTCATGCAAATACCCCAGCTCAGACGGAACCCGATTGCGGACTTACTTCATTGGCTGACGCTGCTATGATTGCGTCATCCCCAACTACAGACATGCCCTCCGTTGACGCTGAAGCCCCGTGTGAATGCACAATAAAAACAAACGAGTCCTGCAGTTCTGCATTATTATTATAATTTTTTTTAGTTCTGAGTTCAAGTTTTGCAATTTAAAATGTATTTTCCAAATAATTACCAGTTTCCATCTTTCAATTCAGATTTGTTTTTGTGCATTTCTGAATTTACATCTCTCAAATTTGTTTTATTCTTGTCATTCTTGGGTTTTTGCTAATTCATGCACCAATTCACAACAGCAAGATTAGTGTTATGATATAAGAAATGCACAGGATTGTGGTAATCCGCTTGTTAAGTGTGACGTCGCGCAAAGCGGCTTCCGGGTCCAAGCGCTCTATTCAACTGAATGGGGAGACTCATGAAATGGTAATAATAAACGTTTACAAAGCGATTTAATGCTTTCAAAAAATCACAAATCGCAGTATATATGTCCATGCATATTATCCAATGGCCAGAAAGTGATTCATTTTTTTATAAATTGTTAAATTTTTGGTATTTGTTATGCAGCAAGCCCAGAGATTGTTGTGTACACTATGATTTTATATAAAGTTAACTTTAATGTGTGATAGGAATAAAACATGATCATAAACGAATGATTTCTCCACTCAAATGAATGGCAGCTTGGACCCGGAAACAGTATTACATACATCACAAACACGTCACCACTTAACAAGCAGATTTCAGCATCTTACATACACACACCTGGCTTTAATGATGGCGTCGATCCACTCGGCACACTGTTCCTGAGAATCACATTCAAACAGATATTTTCGCTCCGCCTCGTCTAAAAACACTGCAAAACAGTCAAAACAAATCAAAGATAAAGAAAGAAATAAAAGCACATTGAGTATGGTTATTTCTGTCCCATATAGATCACTGGCATTTATGATTTAAGGAAAATTCCTACCAAGAAAACGATTAATTGCACCATTCTTTTCTTACAGTATTGTCTTATTTTCCACAACTAAAACTCCATTACTTTAAAGTACATTTTCATGACCTAAAGTTTCATGTTATGTCTACGTACACCGTTAACGTCAGAATTATTAGCCCCTCCTGTATATTTCCCCCCCGTTTCTGTTTAACAGAGCAATTCTTTCAACACATTTCTAATCATAATAGTGTTAATAACTCATCTCTAATAACTGATTTGTTTTATCTTTGTCATGATGACAGTAAATAATATTAGACTAGATATTCTTTAAGACACTTCTATACAGCTTAAAGTGACATGTAAAGGCTTCACTAGGGTTATTAGGGTAAAGTTAGGGTAATTAGGCAAGTAATGTATAACAGTGGTTTGTTCTGGAGACAATCCAACACTAATATTGCTGAAGGGGCGAATAATATTGACCTTAAAATGGCTTTAAAACAATTAAGAACTGCTTTTATTCTAGCCGAAATAAAACAAATAAGACTTTCTACAGAAGAAAAAATATTATAGGAAATACTGTGAACAATTCCTGAATCTGTTCAACATCATTGGGGAAATATTGGAATAATTAAATAAAATTAACAGAAGGACGAATAATTTTAATTCAATTGTGTGTCTGAATTTTAAGTACTGTCAGTATATGTGGTTTATATGAATTAGGAAGCGATACAGACAGCAGAGCTGGTGCTTTAAATAAACCCAGTTAGCTGAAGTGTGAATCTGTGAGTGACGCAGCTTTTACCGATAGAGAAAACCTGAGGATCTTCTCTCTCCACACGACACTGTTCCAGCAGCAGAGCGCCGATGGGCTGTAAACACACAGAAAGAGGCAGATTCAACTTGTGACTTGCAAAACTGTAATATCTCGTAAAACTAGCATTACCAAAAGTATTGATTTCAGTACCAATCGGTAGGCCTGTCACGATATCTATATTTTGTTGTAGGATATGTTGCACCAAAATATATTACGATTAATGATACTACTACTTGTCATTTTCAGGCCATTTTATGCCACTCATTATATAATGCTAGAATGCCAGAATAATATCCTCACAATGCAAGAACACTCTTCCAGAGAACACATCATATTTCATTCTTAAGAACATTTCAATTACAGTTGAAACCAGAAGTTTACATGCACTAAAAAATTAACATAACCATTTAAAAAATAAATGTCTGATGGTAAATCACACTAGACGTTTACTATTTAGTTCTGTTAGGATTACCTAAATGATTTACATTTGCAAAATGCCAGAATAATGAGAGAATTATTTATTAATTTCTTGACAGTCAAAAGTTTACACACATTTCCTTGGTGTTTTTTAGCTTTGCTTTTAAACTGTATAACTTTGGTCGAATGTTTTGGGTCTCCTTCCACAAGCTTCTCACAATAGTTTGCAGGAGTTTTGGTCCATTCCTCCTGCAGAATTGCTGTAACGGAGTCAGATTTGTAGGCTGTCTTGCTCGCACAAGCTTTTTCAACTCTGCCCACAAATGTTCTATAGGATTGAGATCAGGGCTTTGTGATGGCCACTCCAAAACATTCACTCTGTTGTTCTTAAGGCACATTTGAACTAATTTTGCAGTGTGTTTAGGGTCATGGTCTGTTCGGAAGAGTCATTTGTGGCCAAGTTGTAATGTCCTGGCTGATGTCTTGAGATGTTGCTTCAGTATTTCTCCATAATGTTCTCTCTTCATGATGCCATCTATGCTGTGAAGTGGACCAGTCCCTCCTGCAGCAAAACAGCCCCACAACATGATGCTGCCGCCCCCATACTGCACAGTTGGGATGCTGTTCTAGGCTTGTGCTCTTTCCCCTTTGTCCTCCAAATGTAACACTGGTCATTATGGCCAAACAGCTCAATCTTAGCTCCATCAGAGCACAGGACATGTCTTCACACATCAGTCTGTTCCCAGTGTCATTCAGCTAATGGTAATCTGGCTTTGTTGTTGATTCTGGCTTGTTGATTTTCCCATGTTGTCACACAAGGAAGCAGTGTGTTTGAGCTTTTCCTTCAACACTATTCTACAGTTGTGCCTCACATTAACTCAAATGTTGTCAATTAGCCAATCAGAAACTTCCAAAACCCTGACATCATCATCTGAGCTTTTCCAGAGGTAGAATAATCTTATTGTGTGTAAACTTGACTTTCAACAAGAGTTATAACAATTCCTCAAACAATCTCTCTCTCATTATTCTGCAATTAAGCAGAGCAGTAGATTTCCAGCATTACTAGCCACTCGCCATTATTACTAGCCACAATTTTGCATTTGGGAAAATATATTTTATTTGCATAAATTTGACTTTGACATGCTAAAATTTAAGTTGAGAGCTTACAGGGGACAAATTATACCTATAAACTATATATAACATAGTTTTCTATCATATTTTGTATATGATAGTCAAACAAATGCAATTTTCACATCATTAAATATAATTTAATATACAATAAAACATTATTATTATAATAATGTAATGCTATATAATTATAATATAAAATATAAAATTGCCGGTAATTTTCCAGAAGGGTCTGTATGTGTGAAAGGGGCAATAGTGTCATTTCATAGTGTCATAGTGTCGCATTGCTATTAGTTTTTATTTACTATTATTTACTATTAGTTTTTTTATTAGATTTACCAAACCTCTGACCACACCAAAAACAAACAAATAATAATTTTTTGGTGTCAAAACAAGCAGAATATAGCTGTATACATGCACTTATTGTTCAACAGAACCTTTCTTTAAATAACAAAACGGATGACATTTTAAATAAAGGGCTCATATCATCAGTCAACTACACATAAATGAGCAGTTAATCTCCTATTAAGGCAATGTTATTGTAACAACACTGATAATTAAACCATATTTTCAAAAATAACTAAGCAAAAGAAAGCAGGTGACAATGAAAGGATGATCATCACAATTAGGCCCGTTAATAATCTGTTCAAAGAATGTTTAAAGTGAAAGCAACTGTTGCTGCCTACAAAATGATAGACTTTTGTGGGAGTGTTTGTCTTCCCACCACAGCTGAAATCTACCCAAATTTGGCAGGTCAGTGGGTGTTAATGTCAAGCCCTGTATGGGCGATATATATTGCATCACCAAAAATGATTGAGCTCATGTCCATGTGTTGTGCGAGAAGTTCATATATTGATTATTGTGACAGGCCTGACAATCAGATTAAATCTTTAAGCACATCTTGGCATCATTTCGGTAACACTTTACAGTAAGGTTGTATTAGTTAATATAGGTTAAAGCACTTACTAACATGAATGATGCATTTGTGCAGTATTTATTCATGCTTGCTAATATTAGTTCATGAAAATAAAGCTGTTCGCTGTTAGTTCATGGTAATTCGCAGTGGATTAACTAATGCTAACATGCATGAATTTGTATTTTAATAGTGCATTAGTAAATGCTGAACTATCATTAATAAATGCTCAGTGGTTAGCACTGTGGCCTCACAGCAACAAGGTCTCTGGTTTGAGTCTCGGCTGGGTCAGTTAGTGTTTCTGTGTGGAGTCTGCATGTTCATCGTGGGTTTCCACAGGTGCTCCGGTTTCCCCTACAGTCCAAACACATGCGCTATAGGGGAACTGATTAAGTAAATTAGCCATAGTGCATGAGTGTGTGTGTGTGTGTATGGGTGTTTTCCAGTACTAAATTGCGGCTGGAAGAGCATCCGCTGTGTAAAATATATGCTGGAATATTTGCCGGTTCATTCCGCTGTGGCAACCTCTGATTATTAAAGGGACTAAGCCAAGGAATGTGTGTGAATGAATGCATTGTTAGTTCATCTTAGTAAATGCATTAACTAATAATGAAAGCTAATTGTAAAGTGTGACCATCATTTCTTTGTCATATTCCAAAATGAGCCTAATAATAGGTGATAATAATAGGATTCACACTCACCTCGTCCTCATCGGTCCGGAAGTAAAACAGGAAATTAACAATAAGTTTCACCAAACGCTTCTTTACAACTGTTGTGGGAAAAAAGAAGAGACATTAGTCTATACAATCACTCCTCATTGCAAACGGTGACTGTCTGATACTGTCTACTAACTAGGGCTGTGCAATTAATCGAAAATCCGATTTCGCTTTTAGCTTCTAACGATTATGAAAAACCATTAATCGAGATAAACAATTATTCCATTATTTACCGCCCCCTTTCTAAACCGCATGTTCCTGTGTGTGTGTGTGTGTGTTTGTGCGCGGCGGGCACACATAGTCAGAAGCATACGGTCAGCATTCGGTATCATTCGCACACTGTGATGAGCAGAGCATCTAAAGTCATCTTAATGTGAGCGCTTTAATGGTCAAATAGGTGTCAAAACGTGGTGTTTAGTGATTATTCATATTAACCCTCACATGTGTAATAAACAAACGAGTTGAGGATCAAAAGAAACGTGAAAGAGAAACCATTAAAGTGACAGCGCACTATTCCAGCTGCCGCCTGTTTTATCATTAATCAAACAAAAGGAGAAAATCCCTCACTGCTCTTGACTGAAGGACTTTTGTAGGTAAAGTGTTTCTCTTGCAGTGAAAATGCTTAAAGCAGTTTGTTTTATATCTTTATTCTATTGCATTTATTTCTCTTTCCTTTGCAGGGAGGAAAATAACTGTATACAATTATTATTAGCTCTCCTGAATATTAGCAGCCCTTTCCCCCAATTTCTGTTTAATGAAAAGACAATTTTTTTTAAACACATTTCAAAACAATAGTTTTAATAACTCATTTCTAATAACTGATTTCTTTTATCTTTGCTATGATGACAGCACATAAGATTTGACTAGATATTTTTCAAAATACAAGCATTCAGATTCAAAGACTTATTAGGGTAATTAGGCAAGTCATTGTATAACAGTAGTTTCTTCTGCAGACAATAATATATATATATATATATATATATATATATATATATATATATATATATATATATATATATATATATATATATATAGCCTAAAGGGGCTAATAATATTGACCTTAAAATGGCTTTCAATATATTTAAACCTGCTTTTATTGTAGCCGAAATAAAACAAATAAGCCTTTTTCCAGAAGAACAAATATTATACTGCGTTCACACCAGATGCGGAACGCGCGTCAAGCGCGAGTGATTTACATGTTAAGTCAATGCAAACGCGCGAATAGTCATCCTACAGCACGATACGCGCGAATGGCGCAGCGCGGATGACGCAAATGGCGTGGTGCGAATGACGTGGTACGCGCGAATTCGCGCAAATCTCTCGAGTTCAAAATCTGAACTTCAGCGTTCATTCGCGCCACGTTAACCAATCAGAAGCTTGCTCTTGTGGGGACGTGATTGTGACGAAGAACCTGTTGATGGTGTCCCGGGGGAAATCCTCCAGGTGACACCGACAACAAGTCATCAAACTGGGCTTGGCTCAGTCAGAAGCACCGTTGAAAGCCTTCGTCATCCAGGTTCAGTTTTCTTGGGGGAGTTTATGAGCTCACAGAGCTGGTTGCACCTCTGAAAGGATGTAGTGGACTCAGACACGGTCCTAAACGTATCGACGCTGTTTTTCAGCCTTCATAAAGCACATAAACACTGTTATTTTCTTCATAAAACCTATGTTAGCCATTTAGCAATGAAGCTACAGTCACCGGGCAGACAGAAGCCCTGCCCATCACACGAACCCGCGTCTGTTCTGAAGTGATTTTGACATGCGAATGAAGCGGGGTTTGACGCGCGAATGAAGCGAGTAAACTCAAATGTTCACGCGGCAATTTATGCGCGAATAACGCGATTTATCCGTGCGTTCCGCGTCTGGTGTGAACACAGCATTAGAGGAAATTCTGTGAAAATTCCTTGCTCTGTTAAACATCATTTGGAAAATATTTATTAAAAAAAAAAATCTCAGGAGCGCTAATAATTTTGACTTCAACACTAACCGTTTTGAATAATCGTGATAACAATTATGACCAAAATAATCATGATTATGATTTTCCCAAGATCGAGCAGCCCTACTTCTAACTATATTTCGCCCAACTATATGAGCAATTCTATGCAAATGTCAACCTTGCCATTAAAAAAATTAGTTTTCACCAAAATAGCAAAACTTTGTAAGTTTTGATGTGTAGGCTTGTATTTTACGGTACTGTAAAAATACTCAAAAATGTTATTTATTATTCCTAGTCATTTCTCCCATAGGCAACTGAATCGGAAGTTCTAAAGCAAACTCAAAAAACAAGCACACTTCCACATCGAAGAATAAGGTCAATTGCAGACTGACATAGTCTGTGTATAATACGCCCTGAAACCAACTGCAGTTCTCCTGCTCTCTCAGAGTAGCATGCCCAATTTCTGTTTTGTCAGAAAAACTACAGCGGAAGCCTTATTAAACTCTCTCTTTATCAGTTAATAAACATTATTTTACCCTTACACCATCAGGCCTGTAGCCAGCTTATATTGAAAGGGGTGGTTATTGTTTTCTGAAAAACTGAACCCCTTTGCACTTATTCTTTGCACTTCAGCAGTTGTTTATTTTCTATTTAATTATGAGGTAAAATGTCGCATTTCAGTAAACTAATTTTGCTGGATTAGCTTGTCGGATGGTTATCATAACCACAGTTGATTATGTAGCAAAACATTTCCTACCATTTGGTCAAATTGCTTACTAATTTAAGTGTTTATTTACAAATGTGCATTTAAACTGTAAGCTTTACGTTACAGTTTTATAGATGATGACATTTACAATAAAGAAATACAAACACAAATTGATCATCTATCATACATTTATTTATTTATTTTTCAAGAAATCTGTTAAAACTTGTTTTAAATTAAAAATGGAAGCCTTTCTCCTCATAATTATTTAATTATATACAGGATTAATAAATTCCATTAGCAGTTAAACAATTAATAGCTATATATATATATATATATATATATATATATATATATATATATATATATATATATATATATATATATATATATATATATACACATTATAAGATGGTTTATTTATGTTTACTGAAGTACAAAGATGTTTATTTAAAATGGCCAATTGATCTTTATTAACTTCACATTTGTGTTTATTTTCAAAAGGTAGGATTTTATGTGTTCCCCCCAGTTTGTACATGGGCTACCAGCAGCTGTGAGATTTCACTGTTAATGTTTTATTATACAATACACTAGGAACTACTGCACTGTACTTGGCTTTTAAGTAAAACAAAATGAGTATTGCAATAAATAGTTTTTATTTTTTTCTCCTTAACCTCTTGCTGTTCCTATATATATATATATATTTAAAAAGGCGATATTTATTCTTGACCCCGTCAAGTGGTGGGGGGAGATTGCATTGACCTGTCCCCACCATTGTCACGTGCAAACCTACGCCCTTGGCAGTGCCATATGACTGTATATCGTCACTGCTCAGACACTAAGCATACCTCTCACCAGTGCCGATATACAGTCATATCGCACTGCTACACGTGTGATATTGCTTATGGGAACAATGTTGTGCTTTAATAGTCATTTGCTGCTGATATAATTTCACTACTTAGAAAGTCCAGATGTGCGAATATAAAACCAGCCCTGCTGAGATTAAAGCAGCCTAGGCTGGTTGGCTGGTTTTAGCTGGCCGACCAGCCTGGTTTTAGAGGGGTTTTGGCCATTTCCAGGCTAAATGACCAGCTAAATCCAGCTTCACCAGCCTGGTTTAAGCTGAACATAGCTGGTTTTGGCTGGACTCCTAGCCTGGCTAGCTGGTCTAGCTGGTTTTAGCTGGTCATCTCCCAGCCTGACCAGCTAAGACCAGGCTGGAAATGGCCAAAACCCCATTAAAACCAGGCTGGTCGGCCAGTTAAAACCAGCCAACCAGCCTAGGCTGTTTTAAGATGGATTTTTTCGTAGGCAGCTTTACCTAAAATGTATTGTTATAGCTGTGGTATAAACTCTGAAGATGTTTTACATCCAGAAGCATAGTTAAATCTCTAAAGTACATTTATTTACTGTGCATGTTGTGAACGGGCCTTTTTAATAATATATTAATAATTTACCTATGTTTTTATTTTTTAGATATTTATATTTTATTTGTTTTCATTTATTTTATTTTTATCTTGATCTTTATTTGTTATTCTTTATGTATTTATAGATATGTTTTGTCGCATTTGTGTAACTATACTGTACCATAAATATGTATTTAAGTCACATAATATTAGTACAAACTACAAGTTTGATGTATCTCAATGTAATTAAAAAAACGAACACTAATTAACAAATAAAAAGGTTTAGTAGCTACTAAAACTGTCATGACAGGACATTATCAGTACAGCTAGCATGCTAAAGCGATACCCACACTGAAACTCAATCCTTTACTCGTATAATTCTGTCGTTATTCTTCTAGTTTTATTCAGAAATGTTCAGATAATCGGTCGTTTCCTACCGTCGCCTTTCTTCGGGCCTCTCATGCCGAGCTCGGCCGCTCTCTGTGTGGGCTGGCGGCTGAGAAACACCAGCTCCTTCTCGTTAAACCTCATCTTCAGCTCCTCGACGGCTCACTCGCCTCATAAAAGCGCATTTTTAACACTTTATACAGAGGCTTTCATCCACACTCCTCATCGGTCTGTTCAGCAGCTCCTCTGAGTCTGATCTGATAACGAAACACACTTTTTCACACCCAACACATGAACACATACAGCCGATAGAGGACGCTCACACACGGCTGTTGCTAGAAGAGATACAGCTGCAGTCGGAAGTTAAGGGAAATTATTTATATTAATTATTAAATTACTGATTACATTGTTTTTTTATCAAGTATCTACCCTTAAATGTCAACACAGCCATTATACTATTATTATTCATATTCATTAAATTACTAATTAATTGTGCTTTATTAACGTCTGCCAAACTCAACCCTCACAGTAATGCAAAACAGTAATTATAACGAGAATTATTTATATTATTTATTAAATTACCAATTAAATTGTGTTTTATCAATGTCTAACCCTACCACCACCCTCAAACAGTAACGTAAAAACAGTAATTATACCGAGTGTTATTGATATATTACCTATTAAATTAATCCTTAAATTGTATTTTATTAATGTCTACCTCTAACCCAACCCTTAAAGTAATGTACAACAGTAATTAAGTTTTATTCATATTATTTATTAAATTACCCATGAATTGTATTTTATAAAGGCGGTTCATTCCGCTGTGGCGACCCCAGATTAATAAAGGGACTAAGCCGAAAATGAAGGAATGAATGAATGTATTTGATAAAGGTTTACCCCAAACCTAAACCCAACAGTAATGTAAAAACTGTACTTATAATGAGAATTATTAATATTATTTAATAAAATACCCATTAAATTATATTTTGTTAACATCTACCCCATCTCAACCCTCACAGTAAAGTAAAAACAGTCACTATAGCTGTTATTAAAAAAATAAAATAAAATAAAATAAAAAATACTAATACTACTAATACTTCCCTTCTTAGACTTTACAGACCTGAAACTTGCCTACAGCACTTATTCATTGTTGCTCTTGGTTGTGTAAGTTGCTTCCTTGTCCTCATTTGTAAGTCGCTCTGGATAAAAGCGTCTGCTAAATGACTAAATGTAAATGTATTATTCATAGTATTTTTTAAATTACTCATTAAATTGTGTTTTATTAATGCCTACCCCTACCCCAACACTTATAGTAATGTAAAACAGTAATCATACAGAGTTTAATTCATATTATTCATTAAATTACCCATTTATTATATTTTATTAATGTCTGCCCCACCCCAACCCTCACAGTTATGCATAAACAGTAATTATATAAGTTTTATTCATACTTGCTGAAAGAAACCGCTAAAACCAGCCTAAGCTTGGTCTCCCAGCCTTCTCAAGCTGGTTTTAGCTGGTCTCCCAGCCTGGTCAAGCTGGCTTTAGCTGGTCTCTCAACCTGGTCAAGCTGGATTTAGCTGGTCTCCCAGCCTGGTCAAGATGGCTTTAGCTGGTCTCCCAGCCTGGTCAAGCTGGTTTTAGCTGGTCTCCCAACCTGGTCAAGCTGGTGTGACCGGTCCTCGCTTTACTCTGCGTTGTGTTGTGATTAGGCGAAAGGAACCAGTCATATGGGAATTAACAGGCTTTTATTCTGTATGAATAAAGCAAACAAATGGCAAAGCTGAGTATATGTGCCTTCCTTAGGAGCTCACCAACCTCTCCTCAATCGCGTTTGCCGCGAACTCACATAAATAAAGTTGAAGTGTGTTTAACATACACCAAAAAAAAGAAACATTATACATAAATTCAAAAACATAACAGAAGCATAAACACATATGTAAACACATACCTGTATGAATAAAGCAAACAAATGGCAAAGCTGAGTATATGTGCCTTCCTTAGGAGCTCACCAACCTATTAGTGAAAGGGATAATTCTCACTACAAAGCTTGCACATTCATGCTTATAAACTTTACCCACAATACATGCCTCATATACATTCAACCTCTCATACATGTTTAAACATCAATGTAATGCAATTTAGAACACCATTACATGTGTTATTATGATAAACAACACTTATATGCTATATTTTAACCGGAGCTTCAGTAAAACTCACCTCTCCTCAATCGCGTTTGCCGCGAACTGAGTGAGAGCAGGCGGAACCGGAAAACGACACTTAAAGGGGCCACGCGCAATTTTCCAAAATACACCAACACATTGAAAACAAACACAACTATGATTTCATTAACTCTGAAATATAAGATATATAAAGAACAACTTTGAAAATACACAATTAAATAAAAATAATTGATGAATAACAAGGAGAATTTTGAGTGAAATTAATAAAAATAATATAACACCTGTTACATTCACCTCCCCTAATTTCATCAAAATTTCTGCACATCTATGAAGAGGAGTTTTTAAGAAATCCCATTACATGAACATCATAATTACAGCACTGAAAGCTATCTGTCCAGACAGATACAGAGGAATTTGAGGTTGATCAGGCCTCAAAACCTCTTAGTAAAGTATGTTGCCAAATACACCATACCACATGTAATCATTTGTGTGAAATCCTCACTCACATAAAGTGTCTTATATGCAATTTAACAGCATCGATTATCTGCCAAAATGACCAAAAAAAAAGTAGACTTGTCAAAATATAGTGTCATCAAAACAAACTTAAAACTGACTGAGACTTTTTTAGAAAACTGTTCGACAAGTTTGGCATTTTGAATGGCTTTTGGGCCATGGTCTCTATAAGACGGTTGACTCTCTTTACGACTCTACCAGCTCGTGTTGTAATTTTGTCTTGTTCGTAATCTGACGACAACACATCTACAATCACTGAATCACCAACGTCTGGATTGGACATAACAGGATTCGCAGATGAACTGTCACTGTTAGAATCACATGGACCTGAAGCCTCATCAGAAAGGATTTGGATTTGACTCCCTGAATTGGAATCACCATGGTAAGTGTCACTACTATCAACATCTTGTTGTATTGGTTCGTCAACAGACAGTGAATTTGGTGAATGTTCTTTGTTTAATGCCCCTGAATATGTTTTGTTTCTAGAAGTCTCATCCTCCAGACAATCAGTGGAATTGGATAATAGGCTCTCACACTCTGAGTCATCTGAGCACTCCTCAGTTGCTGATTCGTCTGACGTCTCCTCTGGAAGTGTTACAGGTAAGAAACTAATATCCAAGAGCATGTTCCGATGAACCACTTTGGTCAGTCCTTTATCATCCTCCACCTTGTATATGTGTGTTTTAGGGTCACTATCCACGATGGTATATACGGTAGGTTCCCATTTATCTGCTAACTTCCGTTTGCCTCTTTCGCTTTTGTTGGCAATCAGCACTCTGTCTCCACAGTGTAGATGTACCCCTTTTATCCTGCGGTTATACATCTCTGCCTGTTTGTTTTGTTCTTGTGTGGCATGTTTTTGGGCAATTTCAGCTGCTTCTGAAAGGTGAGACATCAATGCAGCAGCATAGTTGCTATAATCAACAGTTACAGGATCATTCAAAACTTGTTTAAACATGACATCTACAGGCAACCGTGGTATGCGCCCAAACATAAGCTGAAAAGGGGCATAACCAGTTGTTTCATGTACTGTTGAATTATAGGCGAACGTCAGAGTCTGTATCTGTTGTGGCCACTTGTCCTTAGATCTCAAGGGCAATGAACGTATCATGGTCCCCAATGTTCGGTTAAACCGTTCTGTGATGCCATTGCCCATAGGATGATAGGCAGTCGTGCGAGACTTGGAGACACCAGAAAGCGCCAGAAGTTCAGCGATAAGCTCGCTCTCGAAATTTGTGCCTTGATCTGTATGGATTCGCTCAGGGAAACCATAGACACAGAACACATGATCCCATAATTTCCGAGCGACTTGCTTAGCTGTTTGGTTAATACAAGGAAAAGCATGTGCGAGCTTAGTGAAATGATCCGTCAAGACCAACACATCCACTGAACGTTGCTTATTATCCTCTGCACTCCAGAAGTCAAGACAAACTAACTCCATTGGCGCGGAAGTTTTTATGCTTTCCAGTAGCGCTCTAGCAGCTGGCTCAGGTGTTTTAGCCAGAATACACCTCCTGCAACACTTGACATACTCCTTAATCTCATGGTCCATCTTGGGCCAGAAAAATCGCTGTCTTGCTAAATGAATTGTTCTAGCCTGTCCTTGGTGACCAGCAAGATCATGGAGACCACTCAAAGCTTTTTCCTTCATACATTGAGGGAGAACATACTGGTGGCGTTTCTGTCTGCTTACTGGGTCCTTTGTCACTCTATACAAGATCCCGTCCTGGATTTTCAGACGATCCCACTGCTTTATGAGTGTTAGAGCTCTGATATCCAACTGGTCTCTTTCTCGTCGAGAAGGGCGTCTTTTCCGAATTACTAAAGGGAGAACTTTCGAAATAGTACTGTCAAGCTCTTGACTCCTTTGCAACTCATCATGAGAAAATCCAAGTAAAGAGATTTGGTTAGCAGCTGCAACCTGACAGACAGATTGTGCCAACTGGACTGCACGAGTAAATGTAGCAGTTTCCCACTCATCATGGACTTGGCAAAGTAACTTGATGACTACTGAGTCACATGGTTGCTCATATCTGGATAGACATTCCACACGATCATTACACTTGTGGCACTCAACCTTTAATCGAAATGCATCTTGTATACCATCTTCCTTAACGGCATCAGCTTCAGTCAGGAGATGGTTGTAGCTCTCATTCATGAGTCTGTGACTAACTGTTCTCGCAAACGGGTCTCTACTTAAAGTGTCAGCCACCACATTCTTTGTTCCTGCGATATGTTTAATGTCAAAAGAGTAAGGGGCTAGTTTTGAGACCCACCTTTGTTCACAGGCATCAAGTTTTGGCTTTGACATTATGTAAGTAAGCGGATTGTTGTCAGTCCAAACTGTAAAGGTGTGCCCTTTGAGCCAATGGCTGAACTTTTCGCACACGCTCCACTTCAAAGCCAAAAACTCAAGCCTGTGAGCAGGATACTTTTTCTGTGACACACTCAAGGTCTTGCTGGCGAAAGCAATAGGTCTGGCTATTTCTTCCCCTGCTGGAACTTGGGAAAGCACGGCGCCAAGCCCATCCAAAGATGCATCG